GGTTCCAAGGTGCTTGAAGAAGTGATAGTCGATAGGCAAGAGGTCTGATGAACATGGCGGATGAGGCAAAGTTTCGTCGCTCAACTCGTTGAACTTCCGCAGCGCTGGTTCCGCAACGTGATGGTGGGCGTTGTCGTGAAGGATTGTTCCTTTTCTTCTGACTAATGCGTGTCGTTGTTGGAGTTTACTGTGCGTTTCGTCAATTCGTTGGTAAAACTTCTCTGCCCTAATTGTTTCGGCCGGATTCAAAAAGCTGTGATGAGTCCGGCTGCAGAGCACCAAACAGTCCCCATAACCTTTTTTTTGTGCAGTCTCGCCTTTGGGAAGTGCTATGGACCCTAATCGTAATCCAACCATTGAGCTGAACGTCGCCTGCTGTCATACAGGATCCACTTCTCGTCATGCATCGCAATCGCGTCAAGAGAAGGGTTGTTTTGCAGCGCAGAATAAAAGCAGACGACATTTCAAAACTGTAACTTTTTGATCATCGTTTAATTCGTGCAGTACCCACTTGTCGAGTTTTTTTTGTCTTTCCTATGCGATTCAAGTGAATGGGAACTAGTCCTGTGCTTACGCCAAGCAGTTCTGCTAGCTCTTGAACAGTTGTTCGCTTGTCTGCTTCCACTGCTGCCTTCAATTCGTCGTCGTCAAGTTCACTGGGACGTCCACGACCTTCCTTAACTTCGAGGTCGAATTCCCAGATCGGAATTTCCGGAACCATGTTCGCACCGTGGATTCATTACGGAACACTATCTTCACCCCAAGCTTCATTAATGTCTCGAGTCGTCTGTACTGCACTACGACCGAGATCGAACCCCTTGAAGGAAATATGACGAAGATTCGTTTTTGACATCCAGAATTGCAAAACTCAAAATTAGTAAGAAAAATTTAACTTTCGACCAAATATCTTTATATAATACATTTAGAAAGAGCATAAAATTAGCTTCCTAATGATGTATAATATTGCAAGGTACGAAGAATATTTTGTTGGTAAAAAATACATTAAAACAATAAATACTTAAAACGCTCATTTATTTCTGAACAACCTAATGTCAATGTTGAGGCGGCCAGGTGACGGTGACTTGTTGAGCTTCTCGGGTGCGATGTTTTGATATTGGCATTCTTTCCGCTTCAGCACTTTATTTTTACTACTTTCTTGGGGAAATATCCGTGGTAGTCCGTCCGATTTGATTTTGAGAAGTATAGCTACGGGTGGTCAGAGGAAGTAGGCAGAGAAGATGAGTGACTAATATATTTTCTGCAAAGTGCGTCGAATCTCCTTCACGTACTTTTCCATTCTTGTTGAATTTCTTCTCAGCTTAGGAGACCTCAATAAGAGTCCGTAATGTATGACAATACGCAACATAAGAAAAACGTTTACCACGACAAGCTGATAAGTCACTAACATAGGTCTTATATTGAAATGTTTTCCATATGTTTGTGCTCAGGAGCCACCACGACAGCGACGTCGACCCTTCGCGCGTTTGCGGCGCGTACGTTCTACTTATATACCGGTGTTTGGCTCACTGACTTCAATAGCTAATACGGCCACCTCTCAGGTGAGTCTCTTCTATAATATTTTAGTTTTTTCTCCACCTTTTATCGCTTCTGAAGTCTTTCGTAAAGGACAAGGCGCCAATTTTAAGGGACTTCTCAACAGCTTCTCATAAATAGGTATTGAAATAAATTGACACATCACCGATAAGTTTTAAAAACTGACTACACAAAATAACCTGTTTTTGTCGTTGGTGAAAAAGAAAACTTACTACTGTTTAGTATTCCAAAAGGATAATTAAGTATTTTGTCTTAAGCGAACAAAAAATTCCTGCCCGCTTTCAGGAACGCTGTTCGATCTGCCTTGACGAATATGCAGAAGGCACGGAGCTACGGGTGCTCTTCTGCGGGCACGAGTTCCATCCGAAATGCGTGGATCCCTGGCTGCTAGCTAACAGACGCTGTCCACTCTGCCAATTTGACGTGGTTTACAAGCAATATCCAAAAGTGGAACCGTCCACTAAGAATCGTCTGTGAGTTAGTGATGAGAAGCGTCACAAAATGTGTTGTTAGGATGTAAATCTTATTTATCAAATATGATAATTCCATTGGGATTCCATTAAATTGTGAAAAATTCTAAGTATAACCACAACGTTGCTGAGATATTTGCAAAACTCTGGACCGCAGGTGTCTATGGTGGGGAACGAACGCGCTATTGTCCTTTCCGGGGAGTAACGCGTTCGCCACCACACCATGCGGGTCCTTCGTTTCGCTTGTCTCTCAGCTATTTCTATCGATCTATCGATCTTAACTGGGTTCTATGCCGATTTGGGCGCCCCAGATCAATCCTGCTGATGGGTGATTGCTGCGGCAAAAGATCGATAGAAATAGTTGAGAGACAAGCGAAACGAAGGACCCGCATGGTGTGGTGGCGAACGCGTTACTCCCCGGAAAGGACAATAGCGCGTTCGTTCCCCACCATAGACACCTGCGGTCCAGAGTTTTGCAAATATCTCAGCAACGTTGTGGTTGTATTTCGCTTAGTACCCTGCCGCGAAATTATAGTAGGCAGAAAATAAAAAGGTATAACATTCTAAGTATAACATTGCTAGAGAAAACTAATACGTTCTTATATCCTTATTCCTATATTTCTCCACCGAAATAATGAGAGAACTGTTGAAAAACTAAATTCTTGTTACTCCATAACGTGTAGTGCTTAGCATCATCTTTGTGAGACACTTAAAAACAACGTTTCAGTACTTCACCGTCATCCGAAAATTCACCGCTTGAATCGCTCTTGCATAATTCACTACCGGCTGACGAAACGCTACCGTTTTCCATGCAAAGAAACCTGCTAGCGTCAGCAGTATGTTCCTCACAGGGTCCACTGCAGGCAGTGCGCGATACAGTGATCCGTGGCCAACGGGTCACTTCTCGGGCGCGGTCGGTGCCGAGACGACGGCCACTTCGTCCAAGGGAGCATATTGAGACCGCTGTCAGGATGGGAGGGTGAGTTCGCAATCAGTTACTCTCCATATGGTAGTTTAAGTGTAACCTACCATGCCAGGTACTATAAAGTCCCATGATGTTATAACCCGGTTAATCTTAATGTTAATTAGTCATTAATGCTATATTAATCAGAACGCCGTTTTTCCACACCAAGGGTTATATTGATAGCTAGGCGTGCACGTTTATTTCGCATCTTTTAAATGGTGTTCCAGAAGTGCACTATTAGAACTACCAAGTATCCTGATTTACGACTTTCTAAAAATGCTCTACCATTGCAACGAGTTTACAAAGTTCTCAGCATTTCATGTGGTTTTTCTGCTTTGATATATCGCTATAGTCATGATCCGTTGAAAGTTCCGAAGTACTCTATACTTTTCTTTTATGATTAAAGAAATTCAAGAAAATTACAAATTCGTCCGCGCTGAACGTAGAAAGACGTTTCAAAAGTTTTTGAAGAATGCCATGGTTTGAAGGAAGAGTGGGCATGTTTTGGTAATACAGTAACTATAAGAAATGGACAAGCTAATATTGAATGCGGAAAAATGGGCACAATACTAAATGGGGACAAAAGTGGGCGAGCACATTTGCCCATGAACTTTTATCCCTTCTTTTATTTTCGATGACGACGCGTTTTCTGAACTCTGTGCTTGCAGGTACTCGTCAGATGTGTCTTCTCGCTAAACAACTATATATCACCTGCATATTTTCGTTTACTGAATACATCAACGTCGTGTTCTCATTCAGGGACGTTCGAAACCAATGCACATACTCCCGGTTACACTGATCATGATTTTCTAAACGGGTTGCAGCGCCTCAATTCCTAGGTAGCTCTTTCTATTCTCCTTTCGAACCACAATCCTCTCGCCTGGCTCTCGTCAGTAATGCTCAGGCTGGCCGCCGCTTTCCACACTACGTGTCTTCTAGGAGTTGAATTTCAAATCACTTATATACACTGAACAGTGTCTAGTCCTTCTCTGTGAATTTCGCCAATGACACATGAAAAACGCGAAGACAGAATTATAGTGATTTCGCTGTTATTCTGCTGTATTCCAGTTGCAATGGAGACAGTATCCGACGCCACTGTGTCATTGTTTTTGTACATAACACTACAATAATGTTAATAAAAAATTAGCCGGTAGCGGCAATACAATTCACACATTTCGATATCAGTGCTCAGTAAAAGTGAAAAACAGAGGCCATCTGTAACCTTCTCAAGGAACCGTATTAATAGTTTTAAGGATATGGTTAAAATTACAGGAATGAAATATGTACAGAAGAATTAATGGTACAGCTAGTGTGAAACAGTGGCAGCAATTGTCTGGAACGTCTTCGAGAACCAACTCGTGATATCGTTAATCGTCTAAAAAATACACATTGTCTTTAACAGTTATTGAAGTTACGTCCCTATATACTTAATGACAGAGTTTGTAAATATACAGTAAGCAAATGTAGCGTTAAAAACAAAGCTCTTAACATTTTCGTCCTAAAATTACTTATAGACGAAAAAGTCGGGATTTCTACTTAACTACTAGTATAGTTTGTACGCAGTTTTCATTTAACAGTAAGGTTTGTTAACTTTAGAAATACAAAGAACACATTTTCCTTTTAGGAACCTCCAGAAAACCTTCCGGAATCCTTTCAGTATTTTCCTCAACAAATCTAATTATTGGGTTCATAATGTTCCCGTTGGGCTCATCATATTTCTTGGGATCCACTTCACAACGACCCTTCTCCACAAGGCTAAGAGGTAGTCGTTTCGATGTGCACGAACAGTTTATCAGAAATCCATGTTCTTTATGACTAACGGCTTTCTTAACGTCCATGCGGAGAAAAACAATTCCATACGAGTTGTTGGCTTGCATTATTTCCGTCTGGTTCAACATAAAAGCACCACTGTACATATCCATTTATTGGCTTAATTGAAAATGAACGAACTTCCTTCGTAAATTCGAGTTGAGGAAAAAAAATTTCTATGTAGCATAGAGGATATCAAGGGTATTACTCACTACAGTTTTTGAACCTGGAATCAGATATCACCTTAGATATTTACAGCCAATAACTACGAAATTCGGATATAACCACTCTCAGTTTCTGATGGCATCGCTGGGTAGAAAACTGGTTGAAAGGCAGAGGACCTCAGTGGTGTCGCGCGTAACACCTGAGCTCCCGGAAAGGGTAATCGCGGTTCAATCTCTGAGGTCTATGTTTTGCAAATATCTCGACATCGTAATGATTACAGTAGTTTCTCTTGAAAGAATGTAGTAGCATTACAACAAAAATGGATGGAAGCAATTTTTGACCAGCTAGTAATACTCCAGCTTGAAGCTCATGTCTATGCTCTGTAGAAGTTTTTCTTCCAGTCTCATGACAACACTATTACTGTTCGGGAATTTTTCTGGCATAATTTTTTTCCTCAAATGAAAGCATGCGTGTAAATTCATATGCGTAAGTTACTTAACAGCGTTGTTTAATTTCAGACCATTTAAAAGGATAAAGGATAAAGCTCTCGGCGTTGATCGATTCCCAAGAGATGCACCATGCATTCAACTTCGATAAGCATCGTTTGGAAGTGATTGAATGCATATCTGGCCTTTACAATGACTCGCGGTGGCCTACCGATTTATCGAATCAGTGCTGCTATCACCCCAGACAAGTCTGGTACCAATTTGCCGACCCAGGAGAGATGAAAGGCTTGGCGGGCCATGGGCGCAGGGATCGATTCCACGTATGTGTTACAGAGAGCTTCCGAGCACTGCGTCACATGCGCCCTTTTGGACCATAAGTTCACAGTATTAACAAGAACGAATATCTATAGAAGAACTGCGAGAAGTTTATCCGTTGAACATATAGCTGCCGACCAAAAGAGTTATACAATTACGGTATGCACACATAAAGATGATTCGAAAGGAATTCCGTCATCACGCATTTGTGTACTTTCCTGTGGTGTTGTAATCGCAGTGGTTCAAGGGGAATGTGTAAGGGATTTAAACCATTACTACTTTCATCTTGTTATTCTAATTACGTGGACAGCAAAAACAGAATGATTTAAATAATTTGCATCGCGACATAAAAATGAATTCGTGGAAGCGTTTGTGCTTTCCAAATCTGATTTTAAAAAAATACCTCAATATGACCTGAAAGCAGCGCACTCTCCATGTGCAAACAGTGGCTGTCCTACTATCCAAAACTTCACATTTGGCCTCCTTGCAGCTTTCCCTTGTTTTATCAAAGTATTTCTATCTAATAACTAGACTAAAGGGGCACGTGTAACGCATGGCTAAGGAATCCTACAATAGATTGTCACTGGTTCGATTTCGCGCCCCGTTCTCACCAATCTTCCATCCCTCCGAGTTGGTAGGATAGCAAAGATACATTGATATGCATCTTAAAAGTCAATACATAGGGCAGATATCTATACAGTCACCTCCAACGATGCTTAATGAAGTCAAACGCATAACACACCACTCACAGATTGATCAACGCCGATAGCTTTACGGTTTTATCCTTTAACTAGATTGACACCTAAAAATGTTCTCAACCCAAACCTCCTTACTGAACGAAATATTTCGCTAGTAGGTCCTTAAGTCCTATTAGCTCGTTTTCGGGGAAACACAAATTTTTGATTTATACATATCAAAAAAAAAGTTATGGCGGATTCTGCCTCCAACTATGTTCAATCATATCGAGAGGATTACCTAACGTTTTGTGAACATAATGAGGAGTTTAACCTGTCGAAGCACACGCTACATGTCTTCTAATTTCAACCTCATAAATTATTATTCTCTAACCTCTTCTGCTCCCCATTCTTTCATTCGCGAAAGAAAAGTCTTCTTAAGCTTCTTCCACAGGTCACGAAGCTTATTCAGTGTTCTACATTTCCAGTCACAATCCTGAAAAAGGAGTAAGGAGGAATACATAGATATCAAAAAGCGCAAAAAGCAGTTCAATCACTTCGTCCACGACATTGCACGTAATAGGTGTCGTATCTGCATCGCAGTCAGTTAGAATAGCGATCTCCTGCCTGATATTTCCTAAGCTGGAACAGTTGAACAGAGGATTTCCCTGGATGTCGATACCCTGGAAAAAAGCGTAGACTTTTTTTTACTCTCTCCACCTTTGACGATTAAATGGTCGAAAACACTATCCATTCAATGCAGGACGATTGTTGTAAATTTGTAGAAAAGCGCGCAAACCAAATGATTCCGAAAAAATGTCGGCTAACAGAATATATTCAAACAAGGTTAATAAAACACATGAGAACCATACTTTGTGCGCTAAATTAAAAAAATCTACGTCCAAAACAATTACAGCATTGTGACAAGGTAAGTGCAAAAGAAAGCTGTTGGAAAAGTTGCAGTATTTAAAGACGCTAATAACAAAAGAGACATAGCTGGTTAGTTGGACGGCCCGTCCTCACTGTTTGTGCAAGCTCCAACATAATCTCCACTTTTCGGAGTTTTGCTGGTTTAGCCATTGTGTTTCCTTGGAGTCCCAAAGTCAGAATGGCCAAAGCCTACCTCAGGTTGTCAACACCACAGGCAGTCGCCGCCTTTGTGGATCAGAGAGAGATTCGCCAACATGCGAGACTAGCTTGATACCAAGTCGGTGGTGGATCCTTACATTGATTTACTCCCAGCTGGGCTTCCTGGTGGAAACGCCGGACTCCTCCCCAGCTTGGGATGCTGTGGTTGGGGGACGAATCCCCACGCTGCACATCGCAGCCCGACACCCAAGAACACCTCCCGGCCACGATGAGTCGATCTACCGTTGGAAGGATAACAAAAGAGACATAGAAACAAAAAGTGTGGAAACCTGAATATCTGGAAATGCTGCCTTCAGAAGTGCGACATGTGGAAGTTCACGAAGATCGTTACATGTGAACGCTGGAAACACAGAATAAGACAGTACACCTCTGCTGAGTTTCGGTATTACACCATTACGATCGTCACTATCGCTATGCCTTATTGTATTTATTATTAATTGGCTTAATTAATTAAGGCAAAGATTCCTAGCACTAGTTTACTCTTAAATGAGCTCTATTGAGATGTCAAACTCCTCAATTCGGGAAACCCGCACATGTGTACGAACCACATGCATGATCATGCCTTGATCCCAAAGAGAACTCTTTAGGTATCATGAGGCGTTAAAACATTGGAGCCACTTAATACTAGCACTATTTATTTCCATTACCACCTAATAATAATATTAGTAATCATCATTATGCCTTCAATGCACATGGGTTCGATCCAGTACTACAGGCTCACTAAGCCTTCCATCTTTCCCGCGTCGACAAACTGGTGTCAGATCTATCTTGGAGGATAGTAGCACTGGTTGTATACATCGGCAGCCCACTACGAGTCACTGTATATGCTATACATGCATTCATTCACCTCAAACGATGCCTGATGAAATCGAATGCATAACGCAACGTTCAAGGATTGATCAATGCCGACAGTTCTGGCTTTTTTATTAACATTACTATTACTGCAGGAACGTGTAGCGTAGTGATTAGAAGTGCCATGCAATGCATACATGAGGGTTGGTTGACTTACCAAACTCTACATCCTTCTGGGTCGATAAATAGTAACAAGCTTGTCCAGAAATACAGCAGAAACGAGTTGTTAGATCGATCAGCCATCACAAGTCATTCTATAGGCCAAATACGCATTTACGTACCTCTAACGATGCTTGAAGAAATTGAACATATGGTCACCCTTCAGGAAATCATAACTATCAAAAGCACTACCGCTCCTGTTTATCCAAATCTAGTAATTTCCCTATCCTGGAGAGAGAGGAGTCAAACTGACCCGATAACGAGTCGAACCAACACTGTTCTCGTGATGAACAGCATCAGTACCACTGCGTTATCAACCCCTTTATTACTAATTAGTATCGTTATACTAAAGACCGACTTTTTATTAACCTCGGCACTGATTGACAAATCACTGCTTTTTTGATAAGCGCACACTTACCCATAAATGCTGCCGCTTCGACGGATTTTATCTTCTTTAGAGTCTATATAGATCAAGTTAATTATACCCTAGTCGGCCAAACGCCTCCAACCATGAGCTCAACAAAACACGACACACATTTCAACCGAATTGAAAACAAAACAGCTTCTTCAGAAGTTCATCGCTTTGTATGAATCTTCCACTGAGTATACTATGTAGAGACTAACCGTACGTAGTTCACATTAATCGGTAATGCGCTTCTCTCACATTGAAATATCATTCTGATACATTGCGTAAGATCACGCGAGATAACGAACCATTCTTCTTTGCGGTTCACTTCTGGAATCTTGGACTTTATCCGAAACGCTTTGAAGGTTTTACGCGCCGAAGTTTAGACTTCTGCGCCAGCCTGTCACTCCCTACGTCAAAATCGTTCCCGTTACGTATCACATCGTATTATCGTTCTGTATCACATGCGCATCCACTGAAATATTTCGTCTAATTTTACCGTTTAAATGTTCCTTCATTCTGACACAAAATGGTCTACCCAGTTCGCCAATATGTTCGTTCCCACACACTTCCTTACAAGGGCTCAGGTACACCATACCTGAATTCAAAGAATCACCACCTCTCCCGCTGAAAATTACAAAATTTTCCGTTGTCTAGATGAAAATACAGATGAACGAACCAGCTTGCGTCTTAGAGTGTTCGCTGGTATTTCAATCGCTGCTATTAATTTCCTTCAACCGGCTGTTTAAGAAGAACCTCCTCTCCAATCTTTTTCCCACCCATTGTTTTTCTTAGCACGAGAAGGGGCGCATGTAGCGCAGTGGTCAGAGGCGCCCTGCAATACACATGCGATCGATCCACGCACCTCAGGCACACTAAGCCTTCCATCCGTTCAGGGTCGGCAAATTGGTACCATACCTGTCTGGAAGATAGCAGCACTGGCTCGATATATGGACCACCACTTGTCATTGTAAAGACCAGATATGTATTCAATCACCTCCAAGCGATGTTTAATGAAGTTAAATGCAAGGCGCACCCCTCAAGGATTGATCATCACCAAGAGCTTTATCCTCTATCCTTATATATATATATATATATATATATATACGTACATATGTATGTGTATATATACATATATAAACACACATATGTTCATATACATAGAAAAAAATTATACATGTATAAAAAAGCTCTCGGCGTGGAACAATCCCTGTACGTCCTTCATTCATTCAACTTCATTAAGAATTTTCAGATGTTATTGAATGCATATCTGGCCTATATAATGACGTACGGTGCCATACCTATGGGCTGAGTTAGTGCTGCTAACTCTCCAAACAGGTACGGTACCAATTTATCGACCCTGGCGCATGGAAGGCTTGGCGACTCTGGAGCGCGGGATCGAACACGCATTTGCAGGGCGCCTTTGGCCACCGCACTACACGTGCCCGTCTACATATATATATATATATATATATATATATATATATACATGTATATGTGTATATACATGTACAAATGTATATGTATATATATAAACATATATATGTACATGTATACAATACATATATGTATGTACATATATATATATATATATATACATATACATATATATGTAGATGTATACTCTCCCAACGGTTTACCGCTTCGTCTTCGCTGGGATGTGTTTCTAGGTGTGGGCGGCGATGCGCAGCGGCGGGATTGACCACCCAAGCTGAGAAGGAGTCCGACGGTTCCATCAGCAAGCCCAGCTAAGAATAAACTAATCTCTGGATTCACCACCGTCCTGATATCAAACTAATCGCGCAGTGGCAAATGTCCATTTGATCCAGTGCGACGACTGCGTGGGGTGGTGTCGACTTGGGCAGACTTTGGTTAAGTCGCAAAACTCTGGACCGCAGGTGTCTATGACCTCGGGACTCCAGGGACCACAATAGCTGAACTGGCAAAACTCCTAAAAAGTGGGAACTTTGCTGGGGTCAGCACGACCGGTAATGACGCGCCATTCAAGTATCCAAGTAGGTATATTTGTATATATATATAGATATATGTGTATGTATATGTATATGTATATATGTGTACGGAACGAAAGGCACGCCGTAGTATTCCTTGTCTTTCCTAGTACATCTCTTCCTTTTGCGTTCTATTCAGTAACGCCAGTACTGATCGCTTCACCTGGCCCAATTTTCGTTGAATTCAGCATGCAGATGTACACATGTTGAGGATTCCTGGATAGACNAGTACTGATCGCTTCACCTGGCCCAATTTTCGTTGAATTCAGCATGCAGATGTACACATGTTGAGGATTCCTGGATAGACATTGCACCCCTTATGCATGGATATGACATCAAGAATATCCGCTTCTCATGAATAATGATTACCTTGCTTTGGCTTGAGATCTATATCATTAATGAAGTAAAGAAATGCTTTATTTTCTGTCGATCATCAGCTTTTATTTACGCTCTATCTCGCTCCACTCTTCATTTGACGTTCTAGAGAGAACTCATAAATGCTTTTGGTTAAATGGTAGCACGTTGTCGAATCCTCCTTTATATCAATGATAATTTCGCTGTTAAATGGTGGGACCTCCATTGTGAAGTGGTTGCGTGGATTATGAAAATGTTCTTGTCTACAATGGAGGAATGCTGTGGCTCTCCGAACCCAGAAGAACGTTTCTATCTAATCTTAGTGGAAAGCCTTGTTTTAACTCGATGAAAGAGACATTGCGGTCTCTCGTACTGCAACATTTCAAAGATTTCGTAACCGCACGCGAAGCTCACGTTGGACTGAAGTTTTCCAAATCATATTCCTTTTACTTTGCCGTCTTTTGTCGGCTTAGGCTTATTTAAAATATAATAGCTTGCCTCAAGCAAAGCCTTATTAGTCAAAATAAAAATCTTTTGAATCTACACATTTTTTTCAACGAGAAATAAGTTTATTTATTCCACTTGCTCAAAATTCTGGAGTTCCGGAAGCGATGAATTCGTTGAAGGCACTTTTTGCGTCATTGTGGTTGGTGAAGCATTTCTCGCGCAGGAAGGTTCCAAGGTGCTTGAAGAAGTGATAGTCGATAGGCAAGAGGTCTGATGAACATGGCGGATGAGGCAAAGTTTCGTCGCNTATGAAAATGTTCTTGTCTACAATGGAGGAATGCTGTGGCTCTCCGAACCCAGAAGAACGTTTCTATCTAATCTTAGTGGAAAGCCTTGTTTTAACTCGATGAAAGAGACATTGCGGTCTCTCGTACTGCAACATTTCAAAGATTTCGTAACCGCACGCGAAGCTCACGTTGGACTGAAGTTTTCCAAATCATATTCCTTTTACTTTGCCGTCTTTTGTCGGCTTAGGCTTATTTAAAATATAATAGCTTGCCTCAAGCAAAGCCTTATTAGTCAAAATAAAAATCTTTTGAATCTACACATTTTTTTCAACGAGAAATAAGTTTATTTATTCCACTTGCTCAAAATTCTGGAGTTCCGGAAGCGATGAATTCGTTGAAGGCACTTTTTGCGTCATTGTGGTTGGTGAAGCATTTCTCGCGCAGGAAGGTTCCAAGGTGCTTGAAGAAGTGATAGTCGATAGGCAAGAGGTCTGATGAACATGGCGGATGAGGCAAAGTTTCGTCGCCCAACTCGTTGAACTTCCGCAGCGCTGGTTCCGCAACGTGATGCTGGGCGTTGTCGTGAAGGATTGTTCCTTTCCTGTTGACTAATGCCGCTCGTTGTTGTTGGAGTTGTTCTATTACACACAGTACTCAGTCACAAGGAAGAATAATAGCTAGTATGCACAGGCGCTCGTGTGGCACAGTGATTGGAGGCGCCACTGCGACACATACGTGGAATCGATCCTCACGCCCATGACCCACCAAACATTCCATCCTCTCGGGGTCGGCAAATTGGTACCAGACTTTCTGGGAAGACAGCAACACTGGCTCAATACATCGGTTGGCCATCGCGAATTATTGTAAACACCAGATATTCACGCAACCACCTCCAACGATGCTTAATGGAGTTGAATTCATGGCGCATTCCTTAGGAATTGATCAACATTGGGAGCTTTATCCTTTATTCTTCTATACTACACGAAGAAATTCCGCTCCACCTCATAGGAAAAGAGAAATATGGCATGCAAGCGGTTCGACAGTTGCTAAGGTTAAAAAACTCTAGATTATCTATAAGTGACAATGGTGGAGAGTTTATAATAATTCCTCTTCAGTGAGATGTTGAGATAACAGAAAAAAGATTTTAAAGACGGCTCCTTTTATTACCTATCATCTGAAAAGGAATCCAAAAATCAATACCAAAAACTGAATAAACAATAGATCAAAGCTGCAAGAGAAGCAGGTTTAAAACCATCAGTTACTTCGCATCTTAAAGTTTAATTAACAACATGTTCCGTTTTACGATTACCAAAACTGATTAGAAGAACTGATAAGTCCCTGAGGGATGCGTCGTGCATTCGATTTCACTAAGCATCTTTGCAGGTGATTGAATGCATAACTGGCTTTTACTATGACCCGCGGTGGCCTACCGATGAATCCAACCAGTGGTGCTAACCTCCAAGAGGAGTATGGTACCAATGTGCCGACTCCAGAGGGATAGAAGGTTAGGTGAGCCATGGGTGCAGCGATTGATCCCATTTGTGTTGCAGTGCTCCTCCGACCACTGCGCCACACGGGCCACAAAACTCACCAGTGTCTAATAATGATCTACAGGCCCTTCAACGTTTGTGGTCAGACCTATCATCAGTTGTATAAATGGATAGAATAGCTTGGTTTATAAACCTAGTTTTCACCCACTTGCTGAAACATACCCCAGCCCATCTCACGAATACCCAAATGTTCCCGGTTCTTCTACGTAACACGGGTCCTAACAGGGCGTATATCATGGAGTCTTTCGACGCCCCGCTCTTTATAGAAATATGTCGAATGAATCCGCTATAAAAGCCATCCTCGAACTCCTTATACAGCACAAAGAAGCAACAAACATTTACGACTTGCCAATTCACCAGCTCATGGCTCTCCTAAAAGTGTCTAGACTGCTCTAGATGGTCTAGGAAGTAGTTCGTACGATTCAGAGGGTTGGCAATGGGACAGCGACTGCCACCAAGCCTTGCCATTGCATTTATCTTCATAACAGAAACTCCAGTAATCGATCTTTGACCATTAACCTGTTGTAGATGTATAGGTGGTCCGTTTCATTATCTGCTCCACACAAGCGGAGATGGACAAACGTTTTGAGTTGAATGAATAGTTAGAGTACATTATGTTCAATCGACAGAACCGAAAGAAAACTGGCTTCCATTTCTGAACGCTAAAAAATTAACCTATTCGAAAACTGCTATGTCATGAAATGGTACAAAAAGCCAAGAAACAACAGCTTACTGGTTCACTACCTTTCTTCACGCGCTTCACACATAAAAAGGGCTTTTATGAAAATCGTGTTTCGAAAATCCACAAGTGCACAGGAAGAAAGGAGAAGGAAGAACATCTGAACTGACGCCACCGGCCATAAATAACCATTTCATGTGGCTACGACACTACCACCTTTCGAGATAGGTGTATAGGGAAAACCGCGGTGCCAAAAAGCAACGGTATGTCTAGCGATAACAAGGTCCCGTTTATTATGCCCTTCATTTCCAATGAAATAAGCGGAGCTATAAAACGTTGTCTTAAAACGGCCAGTTTAGAGAAATCTATAGCAGTTATTGGAACACAATCGAACACTCTCAGACGCCAGCTAGTTCGTAACCGATTGTAAAATCGTCTATGCATAGGGCAAAATCGCATAATTTGCCTTAACGGTAGAGACGGTGATTGCACGAGTTCGGATATGGTGATCTCTCGTAAAGTGTGTGGCGACGAACAAATTGACGAAATGGGTCGATCACTCTGCGTCCGTGTAAAAGAACACCTAGACAGTAAGGTAAAGTTAAACAAACTGTTAAGCGCGCATAGATACATAACGAAGAAGAATTTGAAGTAGAAGTGATAATCCTCGCACCGGAATCTAAAATGTTAGCGGCGCATTAAAGCTTCGAATCATTCCGGATAGATTCCATCCAAAAATGAATCGAGAGAGGAATGCCTCGGTATCCATGCATGATCTCATACAATTTCTCACATTGGTCTTTCAACGTGAGAGGAGTACATTACCTATCCATGTGAACTTGTGTGGTTATTTTCCACGTAGAATACTCAGTGGAAAGCACACAGAAAACGGTGAGTGTGTGGAGAACCTGTTTTGTTCCCAATGCGAATGAAAATCTAGTTATTGTGGCTTACCTGTTCAAGTTCCGGCGTTTAGAATAAGAAACCCAGCTAAGGGTAAACCAATACCAGGATCTACCACCTTCCTGGTATCAAACTAGTCGTATGTTCGCCAATCTCCTTCCGATCCACAAGGGTGGCGACTGCTTGAGGTGGTCACGACCTGAGGCAGATTTTGGCCTGGCTGCCCCTTAGATTCCAAGGAACCATAATGACTAAACCATCAAAATTCCGAAAAAATGGAGATGCTGCTAGGACGCGCACAACCAGTGAGGACAGGCTATCCACGTAAGTAAGTATCCTTGTTGAAGTTGTAGAGGTATTTGGCTTACCAGGTTACAGCTAACTTCTTAACCTTCCCAGGCTCTAAAGGAAGCGAAACTCGCCGAAAAGTCAGCTTTTGTCGATAAATAAGTAGTGAAGTAACAACTTTCGTGTGTTTCAATCAAGAAAAGGGCGAATTACTTCAGTAATAGTTAGTTGGCTCGCATAAACTTTGCTTTAACTAACAAGATCTTTTATAAATGAAGATCAGTGCAAACTTTCAAATGAATCCTGGGAATCATTTAGCAATATGGTGGATAGCTGCCTGTGCTGCCAATCAAAAGACCTTGATTAGGCATACTCCTTGGCAGTCATTCCTCTTTCCAGTTTTTCGCATGTCACCTAGAAAACTTGAACCGCTAACTTAACACGGTTTAAAATCGTGGGATGATCTGGAGAATGAAACAACGTCAAAACGTGTGTCAAACAAACACAAAAAACCCCTATAATCTCATTGGATTGGCTGGAATGAAAATTGGGATGCAAAAAATTTGAATGAGTATCCCATTCCTAAAAATCAGGTGTTAACCATCACAACTAGTGAAGGAAAAAAAGAATCAGCTCGCTTATTGCTCTACATATCCAGTCAATAACATTTTTTAATCCAAACTACAGTACACAATAGTTCCAATACGAGCCAGTTATTGCTGTAACTTCACTCACACCACCTTTATGTTTGATAGTAAGCGGTGGAAGTTTTACATAAAATAAACGAAACAAATCACCCACCAAACAATTAAAATGCAAAAATTAATAAATGAACAAACAAAGCTGAGGGAAAAGCGAAAGGAAGGACACGCACGGTGTGGTGGCGAACACGTTAACCCCTGGAAAGAGTAATAGCAGGTTCGATCCCCCCTCCGCAAACACTTGCGGTCCGGAGTTTTGCACATATCTCAGCATCATTGTAGTTATACCAAATAATTGATTGAAAATTTAAGAAATAAAGGAATGGCTGGTAACAAACCTAGATATTGATAGCCAGACATTACTTTACTGGGAATCTCGATCCTTTGACGATCGCCATTCTCACAGCGAATAAGTGGATGATCCTCTGTCTGCTCACATATACAGTCATCCAAACATGGAAGCAGTCGTGACGAAACTAAAACCAGGCAGCCATTGGTCAAAAAACATGAGCTGCAGTCAGAGAAGTGCTGACAAGGCAAAGTCTCTTTTATCAGTCTCCCTTCGAGTTTTCTACCATTGAGGTATGGTGTTTATGGAAGGACACCTGTATTAACGAAAACTAGGCGTGGGAAGCCTTAGCGACAGTGAATACCACAGTTTTAGTGAGTCAGCGACCATCATTATTCCAGTCCTCTTTAATCCTCACTCTCGACAAGTCCGGGAAAAAAACTCGACAGCATATTGCGAATTAATATGCTATCGAAAGTCGTTTGCTGATAGAACGTTTAAGAAATATGGAGTTCGAAAGTGCGTCCATTACGTAAAGTAAAAGACAACTTTAAGTACATAGTGATCCCATACCGTTAACATAAGACAAAGAACACAACAAAAGAGAGGACGCTGAGTTGATCATTTGAGATCAGCATAAGGAAGAGAATAGATCCGCTTCAAAATTTAAACGCCCAATTCATATGAAGATCTAAACACCATGATACCATAATACATGAAAGGCACTGCAGTGAACATTCTCGAACGTCTAATGAAGTCTCCGATGGAATCCAGATCAGGCTGGAATGCCGTAAAACTACAAGAATTAGATCTCACTGTATTACAAACAAAATGAAAGGCGTCACTTCTTTTTCAACGCGAAATTTCAACAAAGAAGATAGGGATAAAAAGCAATTGACGCGGGAAAGTACTCCTTTTTCAAAGGTGTTCCGCGTAAATGCATTCTTTTTTCGAAAAAAGAGGTTTCGCGGGAATGTATCCTTTTTTGAAGAGGTTTCCCTTTCTTCCCTCAAAACTTTACCTATCATGCATTCGCACAGGGATAAATACCAGTACTAAGGGTTTCCTTTTCACAACCCTACTTCGTCTCACATGGAGTGGTTTCCGCGAATGCCAATTGACTGCTTACAGAAAACGAATTTTGTCTCAGAACAAAAAGATCCAAACCAGTTTCGTCGTAAAAGAAAAAAGGTTGTTCACAACGTTCCTTTCATCGCTGCCGACAGGAATACGCATTCAAACACTAGTACGTTGAGAAAAATAGCACGCAAAAGAAACAAAACGTAAGCACTGCATATTTCACAGATAGCTTTAAGTCCCAATTCGATGCATTCATTAAAAAATATCGCAACACGAAATAACATTTCCGGTTGCAGTGCTATCTTAATAACCAAGTGATTACTTCATTTAGTTTTTGTTGAGAAACATGCCACCAGTTGAACAACGTCCAATTCCTCACTGATCCACGATGAGTGAGTCTTCTGAATTTTGTCTTTTTTTGCATTTACCATATCCCTGCAAACGATTTACCGCTTCATCGTGGTGGGAAGTGTTATGGGTGTAAGACTGCGATGTACAGCAGGGGTTCATCCTCCCAGCAGGACCCGTCAAGCTGAGAATTAGTCTGACGTTGTCAAGCAGAAGGCCAGCTAGTAATAAACCAATACCAGAAATCACTACTGCCCTGGTACCAAACTAGCCATATACTGGCATATATTCCTCTGATGCACAAACGCAGCGACTGTGTTGGAGTGGTGACGACCTGAAGAAGGCTTCGGCAAGGCCGACCTCGAGACTCCAAAGAACCACACTGACTAGGCTGGCAAATTTCCGAGGAATGTAAATTACGCTAAGGTCCGCTTCATCAGTGAAGACAGGCCATCCGTGTATCCAAGTAAGTAGCTGTTGGATCGAGAAACTGCGGTCCTATGCGCAGCACTTCAATAAGTCCCAATAACCTGCCCTGCACTCTCAGAGTGCAGCAAAACTTTCGCTGAAACTATAGTGAGCTTGAAAATACCAATAACCCGAGGTATGCGATTTAAGGCAAATTCCTTTTTGATAAGCTTCAACTGAGGCGGTAAAGAACGCACTTAACTCGCGAGGAAGCTGGCTGTTCCATAGGTGACGATAACTTCTCCATTGCGAGCATATTTCCGGAGTTTAGAACTTTACAGATTTGTAGGAGAAGCTATGATTTACCTCATTAATGACAATATATAACTTCCATTCAATTAGATATTAATACAATAAAGAGCGCGTCTGGCGCAGTGGTTGGAGACGCCTGCAACAAACACGTGGAATCGATCCCCGCGCCCATGGCCCACCAAGCCTTCCATTCCTTCGTGGGGACAGATTGCTACCAGACTTGTCTGGGTGGATAGCAGCAATGGCTCGATATATCGATAGGCCACAGCCAGTCATTGTAAAAATCCAGATATTCAATCACCTCTAAACGATGCTTAATGAAGTCCAATGCATAGTCAGGGATTTATCAACGCCGAGAGCTTTATCTCTTGCCCTTTATTAACACAATAATTTTAGATAAACGAACTTCAAACAAGTTTGATTAAATGTCGACATCGCGTGTTGTTCCAGCAGCTGCTTGAGGATTTCTTTTTTATGAATATCGTAGAATGCTGCAAGTCGATTCTCCTTGCAATCTTTGATAGAGCCGGGCTAAGGCGTTTCCGCGTGGATTGGTGGAAGTGTGTGGGAAGGAATCGAACTAGCACCTTTGCTTTGTGATCGACGACATCACTAAACACTGCCCCTTCTTCGCTTTAACTAAAAATTACTCATACTGAAATCCTCGTCTACCCTTTTTCAAAGAAACTTAATCAAAAGCGATGTATCAATAACTTTTCTCGCAATTGAAAAAAAGTCATTTTTGGAAAATTCGAGGGGTGATTTATTTTGACAATATCTCAACCTCTAACCGGATAATATGAACGATTACTGGTGAGTTTTCACGCCGAACAGGTCCAGAGAAATTCTTTCATGATTCATCGATGATGTTTGTAGATTTTCGATGAAACTGGTAGAATTACCGTAGCATTACGACGAGTATACGTAGACATAACTGAAGTAAGCTCTATGAGTAACGGCAACAGTTATGCTAAAGGATCGTTTTCAATCCTCATCGCTTGCACTAGTCAGACCTCACTTCGCATTCAGGAAAAATCACAGCGCTCATTCAAGCAAAAACCCCAGTTCAGAAGCTTAAAACAAGAGAACAAACCACATTCATGGTCTGAGATGGGCAACAGAGCGAAAAGAATTCATCAAAAGTGCAACATGACTCCAGAGAGAAAAGCTCTTTTTTTCCTTTTACCAAGCAAAAACAAACCGTTGTCATGGACCTGCTTTATAGTTCGATGAGCTACGATAGCGAGAAATTTTAATAAACTCACAGAAAGCTCAGAGATAAGCAAAAATACGACCAATGAAAACATGAGAGCTAGAAAATACCTATGGGATCTTGGGATGCGACAACGTCCAATGGAAAAGAAGAGTCATCATTCCTGATCTCGAAAACAGTGACTATCTACGTACTGTTATATTCATCAATATTTCTTCATATACTCTTCCAAAAAAACAGTTTTCATCCGGCTATTCACTGGGCTGATCATGGTTCTCGTCCGGTCTGGGATAGACAGTGGCGATAACGCAGTCTGGACTGGACAATTAATATGGGGGCCTCCTTCATGGCCCGAAGGAATTATGACTCTACAGATGGTAGTATATGACCGACCACCAATTGACCAACTTGACAAAACCCTATGCGGTACCAACCTAACGACCAGTTAAGTAAAATATACAAATTTTAAACTCTACGTTTAAGACCATGAGCGGAATTTTGCCATTTAACGTTCACGGCTCCTTTCTTGAAAAGGGCATGTGTAGTCCACCTAATTAACGAGTTATTTAACGTGCACTAAAAGACAAAGAATGCGCAAAAAAAACACCAAACAACATCGTAAGGACATATCTGTGTTATTTAACGTAGTCCGTGAAAAAAAGGAAGAGTACTCGAGAAAGTGCATAGTAACCAATGAAAAGAATGAGTGTCAGACCACGGCAAGGTGGAAAGCTCGAATGTATAGTGGAACGCTACTCACCTTCCGAGACGACCAGTATTAGTAGATAGTGAAACATCGGGATACTGCGTTTGCTGCAAATGACAGAGTGCGATGCGGATGATCGACCGATCTATAGAGCGACTTAGAGAGAGTGGGAGAGTGAGTGGGAGAGCGAGTGGGAGTGCCGACTGGGAGAGAGAGCGCGCGAACAACCATCTAGGAGTGGTCATAGAACGTATTTTGCCCCGCTCATCACATTAACCGCCATGCTCTCTGAGGAGGTTTCATCAACCTCATGTTAGCTTACCAGTTAAAGAATACTTATTTATTAGTCACGCCAAGGTTAAAGCAAAGTCAATTTTCGAAATGCTACTGATGTTTGTTTAAATTCTTGATCTGCTGCTGAACTCACTTGTGTTTTGATCCAGTGCTTGACAACGCATATTCTTCAAACAACCTCCATACAAGCTAAGGAATAAGTAAGGAAGGAGTTCACTGGAGAGGAAGCGTGTTCTACCTCATGGTTCTATATCAATTTCTTTTTTCTTGTCCATCGTAACTGAGGGATGTCTACAATTTCGTCTACTATTCTCTTTACATTTTCTTCTTTCCTTCATGTCCTTTCTGTTACTTTTCGCCTGAGAAAAAAGAAAGAAAGGAAGGAAGAGAGAGAGAGAGAGGGACGGAGAAAGAGAGTCCAACGATCTGGAGGTGGCCATAGGAATGCAACATTCGCATTCTGCAGGTCATCACATTCACCGCCTACATTTTCTATCCGAGTGTTTGTCTTCGTGCAAAATCTTTCCTTTCCTTTTCATTGAGCTGATGGCTATACCATAAATTTATTTCTGCAGTTTTTACATTATTTATTACAATATGCGAAAAATTAGCACGAATTTCCTTGTCTTTACTAATCACGAGACGACTACATACTACTGCAGGTAGTGCAGAAGACTGCTGCTGATGAGGAATGCTAAGATGCTTATCTATGGTGTCATCACAGACCGCACGCATTGAGTTCGATGCATGCAAGTCACAGAGAAAGTTAAGCGTGGTCATGAGTATGTTAAAAACATTTACGACTTCTATTACTTCATTGAACCAGGTTTCTTCATTCCTATTGACAGTGTAGAACTTGCCTAATATTCCAATACTTCTGGTTATGAATAAATGTGAATAGAATAAGTAAAAAAAACACATGTGAGATAAAAGCTAGGAACTAACTGTGCAGATGTAAAAAGGATAAAGGATAAAGCTCTCGGCGTTGATTAATCCTTCTGAGAGATGGGTCGTGCATTCGATTTCATTAAGCATCGTTTGGAGGTAAATAAATGCATATCTGGCCTTTACAATGACTCGCGGTAGTCTACCGATATATCGAGCCAGTGCTGCTATCCTCCTAGAGAAGTCCAAGTTTAGTACCAATTTGCCCACCTCGGAGGGATGGAAGGCTTGGCAAGCCATGGGCGCGGAGATCGATTCCACGTGTGTCGCCTCCAACCACTGCGCCATATGAGTGCAGATGTATCCTCTCATAAATATGCAAAATGACCATTTTTTGAAAAGTTCTATGCCTTAGAGCCGAAGTCGGATTCATTATAGGTCATCCGCAAGGCGCAAACGATACATCTATTCTTTCGAGGCTTTTAAATGTGAATACAAGAGAAAGAACTCTAGTACACACCAGCTTAACGGCTCATGAAGAGACGCTGCCACAAAATGAGTGACCCGGTTTATTCTAATATGGTGTTCAGCATTACGGGACATTGTATCCGAGGAAATTCTGAGATCTCTTCACGATGGTATTTCCTGCGCTATATAGGCCATCTTAGAGACCAAGGAGAACACAGAATGAGAAGAACAGACGACAGATGTATGGGAAGAATTTTAGAGTGGACATCACTAGGATGCAAACGTGCTCTAGGATGAACATCTCCTACACGTTGGGAGTATGTGTTCATAACTAAACACATACGGCTGTACTCGCAGCTGCAGTTCTTTTACAGATCACGGTACGAGACTCGCACGCGCCACCATGCTCAAATAAAACCACCACCATGGACGAGGATTGCGAGGCATAGAAACAAATAGAGAATATTCTGGGATCAGCACAAATTGTGAAGATGGGTCGTCTAAGTATCCAAGTAAATATACAGGTCATATGAAAGAAGGGAGTAGCGCAGTGGTTAGTGATGCAGTTTATCAAGAAGCAAGATAAGGTTCGACCTCCTCCCCAACGCTCCAATCTACGTAGGAACGTAGGAACGAACGTCTTAGCTCGGTTATTTTCATGACTGCAAAGAGAATCGGCTTAACCAGCTCTCTATAACACTCATAAAGAAGACGAATTCCTCAAGCAACAACTGAAACAACATGGGGAATGGGAAGACCTTTGTGAACAATGAGTGTGAAGAAAACGAATCGAATGCAAGAATTGCTGAGATTAGCACAATGGATGTGGTGATGGGCCATATGTAAAAAAAAATATGGGCCACCTCTTGTCCTTTAGAGTGTGGTTAGTTGTGCCGTGATTAGCATGTTCACCAACCACGTTACGTCGAAAAGGAAGTGTTCGTGGGGAAGATTTCATGTAGTTATCGTCTAGAAACGATTTCCATTCTCGTCTCGATCTTTTTTTCAGAGCTTTTCGATCCTGTTTTCATTCTCAATGACCTATCCTATTCTGTCATTGAGTACTTCGATAGCAAACTTGTGCACTTTTCGTTGCATATCACCTCCTTCGGCCACTGAATGCTTCAGATCCGTTGTTTTCAGTGGTAGAATGATGATTGCGCAAGGATAGGACTACAAATGAGTCGACACGATCAGTGACGAAACGGTAAAGGAAAAACCATTATAGAATGAGTCAGTGTGCAACAAAACAAACTTTGCACAATGCCTAACCTCGAACTTATTTTTTGGCCTGAGCCAGGCACATTCCTCGCCCATGTAAGGCTCTGTGCGGCTAGTCTCCACCAAATAATTGGAAGACTTACAAAAACAAAACGGTGAGTGATTACAATTAAAGTCTCAGCTTAACTGGGTTCATTGCCGATTTGGGCTATCAAGATCAATCCCGCTTACGAGTGATTGGTGATGGCACTAGTAGATAGAAAACTAGTTGAGAGACATGCAAAACAAAGGATTCGTATGGTGTGGTGGTGATCGTGTTAGTCCCCGGAAAGGGAAATAGCCTGTTCGTTCACCACCGCAGACACCTGCGGTCTGGAGTTTTGCAGAAATCTCAATATCAAAAAACGGCGAGTGTTTAAAGCAAGCTGTTTATTATGCGAATGAACAATTTATATATTGAATTTTATCTGGTGGGTTTATGAAAGTGTTTGGTTGAGTAGATTGCGTGTTGATTAACCTTTCCACGCTCTGAACAAGACGAAACCGCCGAAATGTCAGCTATTGTGTATGAATAGATGCTTTCGTAATAGCCTTGAGTTTGCTCATCAAGAGGTCAGTGAATCATATTAGTTTCCTAGAAAAATGCAGCGGGTGCGGCCCTTGCTACGATATTGAATTACTGAAGGTGAAGTTCTATTAACACGTCTCAATACCGTAGCACTCTATGAAGATTTGACACTTTTCTGGATAAAAAATTACCTCAGATGCTTCCTATGAACACTCCTATCACAAAACAAAACTTACATAATCGAGCAAGCAGAAGATTTCACTACAAGAACGATGTCGAAGCAGTATTGCCAGAGAAATCACAGGGCAAACTATTTCCCTCTTCTTTGGCCTTTACAAAGATACGAAAATCTCTACAAGATGGAGTATGGCACAATTTCTATTAATGGCTCTTGAACCAACTGTAGACTTATCCTCTAAATATGCATAGTAGACCTCTATCGCTACCATTCCACGAAGAACAGCTCGTTTCACCAACGATGAGTATAAAAACAATAATCACCTGTCACCCGCACAATAACCATTGCCTGTGCAACTGCCACACATCGATTTTCTCAAGTTTACTACTAGGCATCAGTAAACATCCCAACTATCTCGTCACGTACCAGTGTTGCCTATAGGCCTTCACTGGCTTGTAAGAAATTAGTCGCACTACTGTTTTAATATAACGTCCTTTACATTTGCTGGTTTTAGTAGGACAGTGGATGAGTGTCGTACTTCTGGACTTTGCAATCCTGCCTAGATATGATACACTAGTTGTGCATCGTAGTTAGACACACAAAAGTATGCTCCCTCATTATAAGAGGGAAGAAGACGATCGTAAGTATTGAATTCAGTCCATGTGCAAACCGTACACTGAGATGCAACTATTCAACCACAACGCTTGGAATTTCGCTGTTCTGTGATAGATCATTTGGTTTTCTTTCTAATTTCTCTATGTAACGACTAAAAACCTTCCCATTTTAGTAATAGCACCTGTCTAAGCAAATGAATATTAACATCTGAAGAGCAATGTACTACGTCACAAAGCAAACGACGTGGTAATGCGAAACATAAGGTACCGGCAAATTTCAGACTAAGCCACAACCACATGGCAACATAACATAACATTTTAATAATGCTCCAAAGTAAATACAATTGTGTGTATGGGAAACATATAACTATAGTAAAACAAAAACTACGGTTCTTCCTATTGGCTAGAGCTAACTTTCTATCTGCAGCAGTCTTACGATTAGTAAACACGTCCAAAAAGAAATCTCCATATACATATAAAAAGGAAGAAAACTAAATGCATTTGATATCGACAAACCCGAAATCCTAGAATTCTCAAACTGAGCCATAAAAGCCTCATTCTCATAGGATAAATCTTTGATACTGGGAGGCTATTCAACATTGGATAAACAGGCACGTTCAAAAACACTCAAAAATCAACGAAAGAAAGGGACGGAATTGTGAATCCATCCAAACAAGAACAACTCGTTACAAATAACAAATCACAAATTTGCAAAGTGAAGACTCAGAAATACACAGAAAAGCCTTATCATACCTATCTTGCCATACAAACAGTGTCTAGGACAACCTACGCAAATTCTACTGTATAAATTGTTAATCAGATTTCAAAGAACAGATAGAATGCACTATTTGCATTGAACCACAACTTCACCCATATTCGCAAATGAATAGCTGGAAATAGATCTATTGGTCCGCCTCAAAGGTATTTTTAAAGAAGCTATATTTCGCACTTACAAATATCCTTTCCTTTTCAGATAGAATTCGACTGCTGGCTTTATCACAGACCTTCCACCAGTACTTCTACCGTAACCCGTAATGACATGGAGACGCTGACTAGACCGACCATGCCTCATGGAAAGGGGGCCTCAAAAATTGATTTTGAAACAAATCCAGACATGAACACATTAAAGTTCTATACAATTACATTAAAGTAACTCACGATCAAGAGCGGAAAGACGTTCCTTTAGCAACATAATAGCGTCCTTTTGGCTAAGAAGATGAAGATCAAGTACGGTAGAATCTTCATTTGCTTTTATGATAATATCACCGGCCTGCTTACGAAGATTCTTTTCACGAAGAGAATGTTCTCGTGCCTTAAAAAAGAGAAAAAAAACCGATGCAAGTGCGAAAAGAGAAAAAAAACAAATAAATGGGACCAGTATAGTAACTATTCCTTAAATAGTTCCTATTCTCTACAATATCACATGTGTCCTATATTAACTATTTACTTATAACTACCTTAAATTTATCCATTCATAATGTATAGGTTTTAATACCGCTTCGACATGTAGTTTCGATAAAAGCCTCTGGCATACCATCTCATTTGATATACTTCTCCGCAGGTACCGTGTTATGACCTAGGTCAACACTGTCTCTGAGTCCCTCCGTGAAGCTCCACGTTATTCCATCTCATTCACATGACCTCTTGATAAGTCTTTGCGTAGCCTTTCGGATAACCTTTATCCGCAAGCTATTCAAAGCTCCATCCACTACAGAAGTAATACAGGTGCCCTTGGGCATTTGTCTTCAAGTGTTCGCAGCATTCGTTCGGTCTTCATCCAGTCCCTCGGTTCTTAAGCGCTCCAGCTCTAGTGTCCGCCTAGCTTACTTCAGTTTCATCACTTTTTCTCATCTCAACCTTGCTCGTATATATCCAGTTAACCACACTTCGTTACATCTTACATATTACAGTTGTACTGTTATTATTGCTATAAACTACTATAAACCAAACTCGAGGTTGTCCACGGCAGTTACGAAAAAAAGTCCTGCGTGGCGAATTCATAGAAAGTCGAGCATTCCACGTACAGTTAGCGGACAAAAGACAAATCCGACCAACTCCCTAATCCACTGGCCAACTAACGCAACCCGCATGATGGAAAAATAACTTACGACTTGCCGGAAGTAGTCCGCTGCGAGCATGTTACGGCACTGAAGGTATCTGAAATGATAAGATATATGCCAAGTTATCGTTAACGTAAAAGGATCGATAAACAATTGGGCGGGAACTAATCAGTTCGACTAATGCCCATTATGTACTAATACACCAATGGAATGCCTTGCTAGCAAATAACAACTACAACTATCATTCTTTTTTTATAACAACGCATTCGTTAACCTCTAATAAAAATGACCATATTCACCTCTCAACTTTTCGCAATTCTGTAGATTTCTTCTCAGCAAACTCATCAGCTTGTTTCTGATATTGACGAGCTTGTTCTTGGGCATCAGGAAGGTTTGCTTCAAAGTGACGCTTAAAACTGGATTTCTGTGCGGGTACAACCTTTAAATATCGAATCAACGATTTAGCGGACAAGAATAGCGAAAAGGATTTGAAATAAAATTGTATTAAAATTAAAAAATTGTATGTTTGTATTTGTTTGTAAAATTGCATGTTTCTCAAAATTCTTATCAATATAAAGTGAAAATAAGCATATTAATATGCAACAACCGAATGCTAGATATTATAACTAAACAAGTTAAACTATTATTTATAGATATTATAACAAGTCAAACTGGTAAAAATTCACTGTTGAAAGTTTTAAACCTTGGACCCACTGTGTCTGAAGTCGTTGCTGGTGAGTTACGACAATGCTCCACACTATTTGCTTCAGGATTCAATATGATATGAAGAGTAGCGCGTGTAGCAGTAGAATCATACCTATGGGATAAAATGTACCGTTGACGGGCAAAAATCCCACACCTATTTAGGTACTTGGATGGCCCGCCCTCATTGGTTGTGCGGGCCTCAGCAAAATTTCCAATTTTTTGGAGTCTTGCTGGTTTAGCCATTGTGGTTCTCTGGAGTCCCGAGGGCAGCCTAACCAAAGTCTGCCCCAGGTCGTCACCACCACAGGCAGTTGGCGCCCTTGTGGATTCGAGGGAGATTTGCCACCATGCGACTAATTTGGTACCAGGACGATGGTGGATGTTGGCCTTCCAATCTCATAAGTATCCCATAAGTAGTACGAAAAATTAAACTAACATATTATCTTTAAAGATCTCTTCAACAGAACGAGAATCAAACATTGAAAATTCTCGAATGAGGTTTTTCAACTGCAGTTTCTGCGATACGGTCATCACCTTCTGTAAAGACACTAAATTAAACAAAAAAAAATGGTTGTGTTTCTATTTTTAAAAAAATAGTTAGATGTCTTCTGTTAAGTGTGCCTGTCTGTTAAGAAATGTTATAGCACTTTTACCTCCACCCTTATCCAAGAAAAAGATCTTGGGATGGTAGAGCAATAGATGTGAAGACACACAAGAATACTAACTTTAAAACTGGCCGAAGCAACCGCATCCTCTTCCTCTTGAAGAGCTGCAGCTATTTCTGCATCGTTCACGTCTTCTCTATTGCTTGGAAATGAAGTTCCACCTAAAAACACTCTCTTCAAACAAGAAAAAAGCTCCCATTCAACTATCTATGGGTTAATTCTTTTTATAACACATATCATTGCTATTTCCTTGATTAGCACACACGAGGTTGTTATCGTACAATATTTATTTACAACCGCTGACATTTCTGCGGACTTCGCCTTTTTCAAAGGCTGGAACAATCAAGTTGGCTACAATTTATTTAGCTAAAAACCTCCATAAACAAAACGGAGAAAACACTAAACTAAGATTTTAATCCCACTGAGTAGAAAACAGCTTCCTCGCACACTCACCGCTTTCTTTGAGTTTTCCATTGATCATTTTACGTGGAGATCAACCGCACAGTTTTCACGGGGAAGTGTAATGTGCCTCTCTCACATTAAAATATGTCTTTAATACTGTGTAAGATCATGCATGATAATGACTCATTGTGCAATTCATTTTCGGATTTTTGGAATTTATCCAGACTGCTACGAGAGCTTCGTTCAATTGAAATTTTGGTTTAGTATTTTCCTTGCTTTGGTTATGGAGGTGTTTGCCTGGGTAGATTGCAGTCAACCTAATCTTTTCAGGCTCTGAAGAAGGCGACATCCGCCGGAACGTCAGATTTCATAAATAAACAATATACAACAAGAACATCATTTGTGCTAATCAAGAATATAGCGAGTTATTTGTCAACGTCGAGGTTAATGGAAAGTCGGCCTTGATACTTACTACAAGACGTACTTAGTACCAGCACTGAAATCTGATTACGAGAGTTCCAGAACACGCGTTAAGCGACTGGATCAAAAAAAAACCAAGTACAATGTCTGACAACTTATTAGTAACTACAACGTTATATAGAAATACATAAAATGAAAAGTAGAAGGCATACATTGTCTTTTTGCAAAAAACCACAAGGATTAAAAAGAGTGATAATGAAATAATTTATTGAACAGTTACTTACTGTTTTGCCAAAAGAGATACAGCTGCTTCAGAAGCCAAAGTGGCAAACGTACACTACACTCTTTTTTAACAATGATTCCTTCACCTATAAAGTTAGTTGAAGTTATGGGTGGAAAATACTCAAAAATCAAAGGATCTTGTTCTCGGTAAACTACTTAAAGTAATGAAAAACATAGCTATAACTACCAAACAGTAAGCTGATCTTCTGCAGCAAATCAACGCCAAGTGTTACTGCTACCTCATTTCCCGAACAATCCACACTTCGTGAAGGACCAGCCTCATAAACTGGCTCAGCTACATATTCTGAAAATCAAAAGAATAAAGAGAAGATGACAAGGAAGGTGTGTGTTCATGCATGCACAACTGCGATATCTCTTTTGTTTCCACGAAAGTTACTCCAATTTTTACCACATAGCAGAACATGTGCATTGATTTAAATGAATAAGGTGAGAAAAGAAAGGTTGCTTTCAAGGACAAAGTTGCAGAGACATGATCAAAGTTAGGAATCTCAGATGGGCTTCGAACCCGCAACTACACAGTCGAGCGCCTCACGTGAGAAAAACAACAGGGCCCATGAAACCAACATAGGTCCTTGCTCTGCCTTTCTCTCAACCGTGTTTTCACGCAGTCCATCTAAAGTTCCAAGTTTTGTTCATATATCAACATCCTTGAGACTATATTTCACATCATACTCTACCATGAAAAACAATAAGCAGTACGTAAAATTTAAAACGTCGTTTCTTGCAACTTCGAACCAACATTTGTGAGCTCACAAAAAGATAAAAAATAGAGGTGCTTTCGGTGCTGATCCATCTCTGAGCAATGCCCAAGCATTCGACTTCACTAACCCATGACGTCATGCTACCGTATGTTGTGGCTGGCCCAATCGAATACGCGCAATTTTCCGTCGGCTGCACCAAACGGACAAAGTCATCCGCATACCTTTGCGATGCCTCAAAACATGCTACCACCACCACCACTACCGAGTTTTCGTTGGTGCATCATAATTCCTCGTTAACTTAAGAGGGTTCAAGAGTTTTCACTTTAACATTTCAACTTTTTGAAGTGAATCTGTCGAAGTTCTTCAATGTGCTTGTGAATGCAGGGTATTCTCACGGTCAGTCTTGCGATCGCATTGTTGTATTTCCTTTCTTCTGTTAATAAGGTTGAGTTTAATTGGAAAGTTTTTTATTACCATGACATTTATAGACTCCGTATACCATCAATGAATTGTCGTATTGTTGCTGATAGAAACAACAATGGATTGCTAAATAAAAGCTGAGAACTACACGTCTCACATACTGTGCAGCCCCATCCTTCACATAAAGTACGACGTTTATTTGTACAATTCCCAATAACTTTGTCTCCTTTGACTAAAAAATTGAGGCAGTGCAGACTTAGCAAGAGTGTATAAGTTCACAATTTTGTTGTTACGCTTACGCTTTGTTTAAATACCCTAGTTTCAAATTGGAATGCGTTTACTATGCGTTGTATATGGTTGTGGTTAGACTGTGTCCAATTGTTTCAGGTGTGTATATGTGTCATCCCACCTTCCACTTATTTCTACGCACATTTATCTAAATATTCTGTTTCATGTGTTTCTAGCATTGCTCTTCTATAGTAACCTTCACCGCTTTCAAGTAAGAAGCAGGCCAACGTAAATAAATGGGTAAGGCCTAGTTTTTAAACAGATTTTCGTTTCTTTTTTTTGCTGCAGGAATTATCAGTGGTTGTTGATTCCTGTTGATTTTAGGCAAAACTATGTCATTATTGTTGGCATAAGAACAAAGTAATTAGTAGTAGGCTTAAAAACCAACTTTCATTCAACTTCGATATGGCTGGTCAAATTAACTGTTCTGTCCATTTATGAGCTTGCTACAAGTATTACCTGTATCACCTGTCGTCTCATTGATCGTCGAGTTACTCGAGCGGGCGTCAGTAAATCTTCCATTTTTCCCTGTCGCGTGCAAGAATAAGCCAGTGGGTTGTGCTTGTTCTAGGCACTTGATGAGCATCATATTTTCTTCTACAGTTTTCATAAGGCACTATGGCCATCAAGCCGGTGGTGTTCTTGCTGTGTGTTTCTCATCCAGAGGAATTCAGTGGCAAACGGTCCTCTCCATCGCTTTTTGTTCATAAACATTGCATATTCGGCCCACCTTATCTTCGACACTTTAGAGTATATAACGACACTTTGGTTTTTGATCGTTGACATAGGTCAGGGCTTCGGATCCCTTCCTTCACTTACGGGATACAGGATACTCTTAACATCGTCTCTTCTACTCGCGTTCAATAACGCTGAGTGGTCGCTCATCCTTCTTGAGTTGCGACCAGTTGTCTGACGCATACGTTACAGCAGGAAGAATCATAAAGACGAAAACGTGGTCACGGGGTCGGCCGTTCTTTGTTCTCGTCACTACATCTTTGATGTTCCTGAAGGCTTCCCTCATCATACTGCTTGCTTCCTCCTGCATAACTTTAGAGCTAACTACTTTATTGTACTGATTTTTCAACGTAGAAAAACGTAGCATGAGTATTCGGAGATATTCGCTACATTGAGCATAAAAGAGGCCATAAGAAGCCAATCCGATCCTCATCAACATTGCTTTAGCGCGATTTAGGCGAAGGTCAATCTTTCCACATGCTTTATCAAAGTCGGCAAGCATTCGTTCCGCTTGACTAATGTTTGGTGTTATAAGGACGATGTCATCAGCAAAGCGAAGATGGTGTAATTGCCGACCATCGATTTCCACTCCCCCCATGTTGTCCCATTCCAATGTTCACGTGATGTTCATGAGTATGGCGGTAAATAATTTTAGCGAGATGGTATCGCCCTCACCCCTCTTTTGACGTCGATGTTAATATCGTTGTAGTAGAATGGTGATATCTTGGTTGTGAAATTTTTGCACGGCTCACTAAAAATCTTTATGTACTGGACACGGGCTCATGACTATCAAGGGATTCCATGACTGCTTCTATTCCAAGTGAGCTAAAGGCCTTCTTGAAATCGATGAAAGTGAGACAGAGCGGTCTTTTGCACTCTCGTTATACTTCAATGACTCTTGTTATCGTGTGGATGTAGTGCGTCGTACTACATCTTTCCCGAAACCCTGCTTACTCACATGGCTGCCTTTCCTCCAGTGTTTAGTCAATCCTGTTCAGGATGACTCGAGTGAAGTTTGATGACAGCAGACAGCAAGCACATTGGGTGTTAGTTGCCGATATCGTGGTCACCCTTATTATATATTACCTTACGAAAATTCTTTGTGTAAGCAACGACGACTTAATACTCCAGAACTTCAAAGGCCACTTCTGAGTCTCAATATCTTAATTAAATCGATGACCCTTATTGAGTCGACGCAGATGAGGCAAAGCGGTCTCTTGTGTACTCGCGATGCTTTAAGGAGTTTTGTTATAGCATGGATGCTGTCATCGTACTGAGTATTTTCGAAACCCTGCTTGTCGGCTATACTGTATTTAGCCCAGTGTTCCATCAATTCCGTGAGAGCCGACAACAGTGGATAAATTGTAGGCGACAAACAGTGTGCAGATCAAGTGAATATCGACATCCTCTTGTTCTCTACCTTTTGCAAACAATCTAGCGTTGTCAGTTTTCTACTGGAGTGGTGATAACTAACGTGTCAGGGGCGGAGTTCGCGTTCGACGGGAATTGGCAGTGTGTTCCTCCGATATTCGAGTTTATCACCGAACGGAAAATTGTGTTGTTATTTGCCTACGACAGAAGTCAGACTTAGAAAGGAGTAGAAATGGAGGAGTAGAAGTGAAACAGATTTTCTGCACTGACTTCTCAAAAGTGCTTCACTTAGACGCCTCTTCTTGTAATCTTAGTGGTATAGTTGTCGAAGCTCAGGCCGTCATTGCAGGTGTTCTTTTCGGCCTTTGCACTTTTGGACATTGCTCTTCTCTTTCTAAAGTCTTGGTTATCGTAAGTCGGACAGTTGGTCATATTGTTAGTTCTATTGTACTTGTGGGTACAAACATGAAGTTTTCGCGACCATCTCCTGGGTTTAGTCTTCGCGATGAAGTCGCTAATGAAGACATTAGAAGGGGTATGGTCCTTCTTCCACTTTCTATGGAGATCTCTTCTTCCCACCTTGATTTGAGTGTGAAGATGTCGAAAACTGCCTACTAACGAGCGAAATATCTCCGTTTATAGTGGCTTTGGGAGTTTGTTTTTTGAATATATCTTTCTACATCTGATCAGCGAACACGAAGTGCTATTTTATTTCTTTACTTATGCGCAAGCTGACGTTTCGGCGGATTTCGCCTTCCTCAGAGCCTGGAAGGGTCAACTTGACAGCAATCCATTCGGTCAAACACCTCCATAACCAAGCAGAGAAAACACTAAACCAAGATTTCAATCACATTTAGCACTGCTCTGCACACTCACCGCTTTCTATGAGTCTTGAGTCTGAGTCTTGAGTTCTATGAGTCTTTGAGCCACTGAGTATGTGGCGTGAAGACCGACCGCACCAAATTCACATGGAAGTGTAATGTGCTCCTCCCATCAGAATAACAGGTTTATATACTGTCCAATATCGCGCGTGATAACGAGGCATTCCTCCCTGCGGTTCATTTTCGGATTCTTGGAATTAATCCAGAATGCCTCTAGAGTTTTGCGCGCTTGTGTTTTCGATTCTTGCGCGAGGATCGTAACCCTTACTTCGAAATCTTCTCCGTTATGTTTCTGCGTGCTATGCGTACCTAGTGGAGTACTTGGCTTACGTTTGCCGACTAGGTGTTCTTTTATACGAACGCAGAGTGGTCTACCCGTTTCGCCAACGTATTCGTCCCCACACGCTTTACAAGAGATCAGATATACTGTACCCGAACTCATGCAATCACCGTCTCTACCATTGGGACAAATTATGCAATTTTGCATTACACATAGACGGTCATATAGGCGGTTACGAACTAGCTGGCGCCTTGGATTACTCGGTGGTATTTCGATTATCGTTACCGAATTCTCTAGACTGGCCCTTCTTAAACAGCGTTTTATAGCTGCACTTACTTCATTTGAAATGAAGGGCAGTATAAACGGGACCTTGTTGTCGCTAGAGTTATCGTTGGGGTACCTGTGGCTTCCTCTACACCTAGTTCGAGCTACGGTTTCATAGCCATTAAAAATGGCTATTCGCCGCGCCAAGTTCCGGGACTCCTCTCTCTGTTGTCTTCCTGTGCACACGCTGGTAGCCGTTCGATACATGTTTCTCACAAGCGTCCTTTTCTTGTGAGAGGGATGAGAGGAGAGGTAATGAACTAGGATGTTTTTACTACTTGGTTTTCGATACCACTTCGTAATGTAGCCGTTTTCTGATAGGCTAATTTGCACGTTAAGGAATGGAAACCAGTCTTCTTTTGGTTTCTCTCGGGTGAATTTAATATAATCTGACTGTGTGTTCAACAACTCGATGGAAAACAGCCGTTATTGACTGGATTCTTCGAGATGTCAAACGCACTGCAGGAAGATCACCGGACCGATGGTCAGTTTTTCACAAATACCCTGGAAGAAAGCTATAATGGTCAACAATTTCCTAAAGCGAGTAGAACCCACTGGGCTACTCTTGAATGCGATAAAGGGATGTTGAAAATTCAGTAGCGTTCAGTCACTCGACTATCAATGGGGTGACAGGTGATACAGGTGAAAGGTGACAATCTAGAGTGGTTCTTTATGTATTTAGGCAGGAAATAACTACATTTCATAATAGTCGAACAATATTGAGCGCAACAATTTCAGTTCCATGGCACGGCATGTTAACGACAATGAAAACAAACTTCAGAACCCTTACAAAATTGCTGCAGTTGCCGAGAGTGTAAAATAGTCCGAAGTAACCAAATCTCTAGCTGAATCGAATGTCACTGTTGGCGTAAATGGAGAACATGGCCACGAAATATCAAAGAAACAACATGTTATCTTAAAAACCCACAACGTTTCACCGAAGTTTGACGTACTTCGCTTCAACAATCAAACTCGTAACTGATCAATAAGCCTGCCACAAAATAATAACGATGCACGAGTTATCGTTATCTCCCCTGCTCATTCACAGCTATAAAGTCGTCAACAAAAAAACCACTATGGTTGAATACCACTCATCAACACCTGCAGATAAACATGCCGAACTTGATACACGTGATATCTTGCGGTGAACCACAAAGAAAATCCAGGAATACAGGAAACGGGTACTTCATGGATGGCATTAGTTTAGAAACACATTGAATAGATTTTGGACAGCAGTGCACACGACTTTCTCATTAATAGAGACGTAAATCCACGTGATGTTGCTGACCAGATTTTAAGAAACGCTAACATTCACGGTAGATCTTTTAACATGGTAAGTCATAACTGAAAAGAAGCAGCAAAAAAAAAACTAGAAAGCAAAAAGCGTGCAGTGCATTACCATATTTTCAGAATACGAACAACAACAAACTTGAAATAGCAAGCAATCACATAATTAGAATATATATTTTTATGACCCTTTAGATGCTGAATAATTCCATAGCGATCACGGAGATGACACCTATCTCCAGTTCCTTGTTCTGTATCCTATCCAGCATGAGCAAAGTTCAAGAAATCATACCACATGCAATCACAACGGATAACATCTTAATCCCCCAACCTTTCAAACTCTCCTGTTCTGCTATTCTTTGCCAGTCAGTCCTGGGCACTGGAGCGTGAAGTAGAGTACCACTGAGTTCAGATGCTACAAGCTCTTCTACGAACTGTTTCTAAATACGAAACCATGAGAAACTTCATGTAGATGATGAGGTTTACGGTGTTAGAACTACCTCCGTAACCTGTGCCATCCAGTCCACACAAGCTCCCAATTCGACGAATAACCTGATGCATTCTTCCAAACCCAGCATCTTAACATATGGATAAGCACCAATCAATTTTTAAACCGGTATATATCAACTCTGAAAAAACTCTACTAGTCGAACTAAAAGCTATTTGAATTTATACATTTTTGCCAACGAGAAACAAGTTTATGCATCACGTTTACATAAAAATATGGAGGCGATGAAGTCGTTGAAAGCAATTCCTGTCTCAGTTTGGTTTCTGAGGCACTTATGATAGTCGGTAGACGACAGCTCCGACGGGTATACCGGACGTGTCAAGGTTCCGTAGGCAAACTCGTTCAACTTCTCCAGTGTCAGTGGTACGACATGTAGCCGCTCGTCATCGTTCAGAAAGATTAGTCCTTTTCTGTTGACCAGTGCAGGGCATAGACATTGAAGTTCCCTGTGTATTTCGTCCAGAAGTTGGACTTACTTCGTCGCTATTATGGTTTCAAACGGGTTCTAGCACCTCTGACACATGAAATTATTAAGCGTTTATCATGACCTTCTTTTGGTGCAATTTTTGGGTTCGCTCCCAGGTGTTGTACGGACCAAAATCTTGCCGCACATCTCAATATGTTCGAAAAACGAGCCGTTCTGGTTGCAGAGAAGCGTCATTGACACGTTAAAACTGTAAATTATATGACTGTTGTTTAATTCGTGCGGCATCCATTTGCTGAATCTTTTCAGGTTTCCAACTTGCTTAAATGTTCCATAACAATTGAGAAGCTTGTACCGAGTTCTTGAGCAAGTTCTCGAACAATTTTGCCTGAATTTGCCTCTGCCAAAGCCTTTAACTCATGGTCGTCAAGGGCAGAAGGAAATCAACAACCTCCATTACCTTGAAAATAGTATCACTCGATGAAATTTTTTGAAATAAAGTAGAGTTGTGATTCGTTAACACTTCCTCGACCTCATGCCTCACTAACGTTCCGGGTCTTTTGTATTGCGTTACAACTGAGTTTGAATTGGTGAAGAAATTTGCCGAAGTTGCTATTTCGACATCTAATTCCTAATATGTAAAACTTATGAAAGATAGAATTTATATTTGACCTAAATTGTAAGGAGCGGAACTACAAGAACAAGCTTCGAAGTGATTTATAATAGCATACCACTCGGCAGAAAAGTTATTGTTAAAGAAAATACAATAGAAATCATGAAATCTGTATCAATTTCCGAACAACCCAATAATCAAAAAAAATAACCTTATCAAGTACAGAAAAAAAAACATTTTCACCTGATAATAATGAGATAGGTTTCTAAGCTCTTCGTATGGAAAAACTGCAACCAACACGTCCAACTCAGAAAACTGTGGAATGCTCCTTAAACACATGTGTTTTGTAAAAAGAGCAAACTTGGTAAACAATCAGCCCAAAATAACTCACTCCATTCTGACTACACGGTCCTTCATTTGTGACTTCAACTCTTTTGATATTTCCACGCTATGTGGAACACCTTCTGAAACGTCATCAAACGGACAATAGACGCCAGCACAGACTAATGTTACTGAAAATTAAAATTCCTTAGTGGCCTTCAATAGACATTTCTATCACCAAAAAGCATTCATATATTTTCTATTAGTTAACTTTCGGCATACAATCGTTGCAAATCTTCTATTAAACTAGTTTAGACAGATTTGTACTCTAGGGATACCGAACACAGCATAAGATAAAAACTTCCAAATGGAAGTCGAATTTGGCACATGGAATCAAAAATAAACATGTAGACTGTAAAAAATAGTTATGCAAAAACATTGGGTGGTTGTTGCGAAATCAAAATGAGATCGCGAAATTAATCTTGTTTCATAACTTACCTATTTTCATACGACTTCATATACCGCTGAAGTAACCCTAAAACATAGGGCCTTTCAAAGACTAACTCGTAAAAGAATCTAACCGACGACTTCATTAGTTTGAGTCGCTACTTCTCGAACTTCTAGTATGCTAACATGTGAACGACGATCGACAGCTAAGGAAAAGGCAGCAGGAGTCGGCACAACCGCAGGCAGCAGAAATGACGAGTGGTCAACTGAAAACATGGCAATGAAAGCTCTAGAACAAGAATGACACTACTTCAAAAAATTTTAAAGTCTTTCTAATAGATACCTTGTACGGTAGATGCACGAAGAAAAAAAAACACTTGAACGACGTCTTATCATAACACGCTTCCTTACTAACCCACAGCATTCGGATAAGGAAGCTCAGGAGGAGGATCGGCAATAGAGACCTCTGGAGAAGAGCTATCATCATCCTTTAAATGCAAGACTTCATCGTGACTTGGTGAAGGATCTAAACAAAGTCAAAAAATCAGAGAAAAAAAAACTATTCTACTGACAACCACAACGATGCCGAGATATTTGCAAAACTCCGAACCGCAGGTGTCTGCCGTGGGAATGAACGCGCTATTATTCTCTCCGGGGGCTAACGCGTTCATCACCACACCATGCGGGTCCTTCGTTTCTCCTGTCTCTCAGCTAGTTTTCTATCTACCAGCGCATGGTGTGGTAATGAACGCGTTAGCCATCGGAAAGATAATAGCGCGTTCGTTCCCTACCGCAGACACCTGAGGTTCGGAGTTTTGCAAATACCTCGGCATCGTTGTGGTTGCACCACACATAATACCCTGCCGTGAAAAATTGCAGTAGACAGTAAATACAAAAAGTTAACATTATTTCACAGATATTTACGCGAAAATTACAAGTACATCTAAAATTCCAACCTAGCACAAGACTTCTTAGCTTCAAACAGTGAAGTTCCGTGTCGTGCTCTTTTTCCGAAAATTCAAGTGATGGTGGTTCCAACCTATAAATTCAAAATGTTTATGCGATCAACAAAAATAGAAAAAGAAACATGAATACATACCTAATTTCACGGTCTCCACCTACCAAACAAGATAAAGACGGTTGTCCTTGATCAAGTAACGAGTGCATCATTGAGTCAATTTTCCGTATTTCTATCCCATGTATGTTGCGTCTAAAAAATGAAAGTAAGCAAAAACACAATGAAGAGAACTTACCTACCTGAAGCACTCTTTAACTGTGTATTTCCACGAGGTCTCTGGTTCCACGACAAAAATTTCATAGCAGTATCTAACTGCCTGAAAAGAAGCACAGTGCTATAGTGTAATAGCAGAAGCGCACTGTGATAGAAACTTACATGAAAAGCGTACTGTTTCATGTGATTGATGAAAATATTGGTGTTGTCCACGACTATTGTTTTGATGCCATTTATCATAGCCTCATGAACTAAAGTGTTAGTAAAACTAGTAACTAGAGCTATAAACAATGAACTTAAATACCTCTCAAGATATTATTCCGATGATACTCCTCCAATTTCTCCGGTTGAAATTGATAAAGACCGTTCTGAAGGAAGAAATCATCCGTACTATAAACAACTCCTCCATAATCTGCAGACAGACTTCTGCAAATTAACATCAGTCTTTCCAAATTCGAAAACATGGTTAGAATGATGTAAACACACATTACAGTGAAGAAACAGATGCATAGTGTGATGTTAAGCAAGAAAATTTAGGACATGGGTTAGAAGCGTAACCTTGTAGAAACAAAGCGTAGCAGGGACACCAATGAAATGATACGGAGACAAAAACCTTTACTAGATATCAGCATAACAAAAGTAGGAACTTTATTCTACTATTCTTATATTTATTCCAGCTTTATTCCCCAGCTATTCCAGCCAGCTGAGAGACAGGTGAAACGAAAGACCAGGACGGTGTGGTGGTGAACGCGTTAGCCCCGGAAAGAGTAATAGCGCGTTCGTTCCCTACCACAAACACCTGCTGTCCGGAGTATTGCAAATATCTTAGCACTACTGTTGTTATTCCTGCTTTAATTTAAGCTTTGTTCCAGCGCATTCAGCAATCAATTATCTCAATCAACGTTCGCGACAACAAACTAAGTCAGATGATATCTCATATGGCTGCCTTTCCATCCTAAGTTTTTAAAAAATTCCGATTTCTTTATTTCAGAATTTTAATCCAGGTTTAGTTGCTCGCAATGGCCAGCACAACATCCTTGTCCACACAGATAAAGAAATCCTACTCCATGTATTTCTTCGCTCATAAAAACTAGATTTCACAGTGAAGTTCGTTCACGTGAGAACGTTTTCATCGAAATAATTGGAGTAACAACGACTCTTTAAATAAACTCCAGGCAGATTGATGTGATGGCTTACCAAGTGCTTATTCTTCAATGCGAGTAGCAAGAAAATCTATTTTCTTTTACTTGTAAAACAATGACCGCAACTAGATTAAGAAATGAAGCCCGTACGTTCCTTACGGTGTAGTCATGGAAAACTGGCAACAAATTTTCCATGACTACACCGTAAGGAACAGAGAAAATGAGAGGCTTTGCGTTATCGCTCAAAGGTGATAAACAGTCTCTCTAAATTGTGCTTCCAATTTTTGATCTCTCTGAAATTCAAACTTATGAAGAAATAGTCAAAACAAAACTTAAATTCATAAAATTTTCACCGCAAGTCAGGGACCCGAAAACATCGAATACAGAATGGAAAAGTGTTCGATTCTAAGTAGTCACTATCGTTTAACCGCTTCTGTTTTCGCAATATGAGTCTTCACAAATAACATGCGAAGATTTTATGGGCCATAAAAATTAGTTCTATCGCTGTATAATAAGTGAGGACTACTGTTCGTTGCTCGCAAGGAAATGCGGAGCGTAACAGTTTTTAGGAGCACATATGGTGCAGAGGGCAGAAGAGCCCTGTAACATATGGGATCGATCCGCGCGCCCCAGGCTCACCAAACCTTCGATCACTCTAGGGTCGGGAAATAGCTACAGGACTTTTTTGGGAGGATAGAAGCACTGGTTCGGAACATCGGTATGCCACCGCGAGTCATTGTAAAGGTCAGATATGAATTCAATCGCCTCTAACGATGATTAATGAAGTCGAATACATGGCACACCCTGAGAAATTGATCAACACCGAGAGTTTTATGCTTTATCTTTTAGCTTTTCTTAATAAGATTCATGAACTCCACTATAAGCCTAGGTATGTCTGTCTAAAGTTGAAAAGCACAACTTTATTGCCCTTCAACTCTAGACAAACGCATGTTATTTTCTTAACAACTCAAAAGACCGACTATGTAAAGCTCGGCATAGATTTATGTTATTATGAATCGATCTTGTTGAGCTGATGCGAGTTTATAAGGTATCGTCGTTGTTGATATTCTTGTTGCTACTGTTGTTGCTCGATGGCTCGTTTCAGCGAATTCGCCTTCCTCAGAGACGTGTTGTTAAGAGTAGACGAAATCGCCGAGACGTCAGCCATCAAACTATAACGAAACTACGGTAAGAACAACAACAACAACAACAATAACAACAACGACACCTTATACCAACCCTACATCTGCTCAACAAAATCAGTTCATATGAGCATATTATTTTATTTTTCACTACTATCTATTATATTATTTTAGACACATTATCATTATTATAATTATTGATTACTATGATTATTGTTCATATTATATTATACTACTTAATACATATTCTATTAAGAAACTACTTGCGAACAGTGAAATCAATATATATCAACCATTATCAGCTAAACATTAAAATGACCACGTGCAGACAGAATAGGAACGTCACGAAGCGTTCTAAAAATTACAGGTAGCCTCCACATAAGAATTACAAACTGTAATCTATAGTATGGTTGTTGAATCTATAATAAGCGGATCCGAAACTAAGTTCAGGCTTTTCGAACCACACATTCCTCTGATTAAATTCTATAAATTCTTATGAGACCTACACAGCTAGATCATTAGCATTGACACCTCTGAAGACTAACCCAAGGAGACGTACATAAAGACCACCCGAGTGGACCGAAGAAAGTAAAAAGTTATATTCACTACGGCGACTACTCATAGTTCACAACTCCAAAGGTTCTTGTCTACAAGTTGTATGTGAGCCCTATTCTCGACCTTACCGTGACTATGTTGATAACACCAAAGTCGAAGACTCTGTTTAACCAGTGTTGTTGCAATCCTAAAATTTTATATGGGATCGAACTACCGCTTGTTTCACGTCAGGTTTTTCGCTGAGAGAAAAGAGAGAAATATTGAAAGAACAAAGATGAAAAACTGGAATTTTAATTCTAATGAGTGAGATGACATCGCCGCTGACATCACCCAGAATACAATCGAATCACGCGACACCTTCGCAATACTTGATACCTGGTACTTGAACGGCCTTCCTCACCAGTTGTGCGGGTCCCAGCATTATCACCATTTTTCGGAGATTTGTTGGTTAAGCCATTGTCGTTCCTGGAATCCCGAGGACAGTCTGGCCAAAGTCTGCCCGAGGTCGTCAACGCGACTGGCAGTCGCAGCCTTATGGCTCAGAGGGAGATTCACCAGCATGTGAGACTTTGATACCAGGACGGTGGTGGATCCTGGCATCGGCTTACTCTTAGCTAGGCTTCCTGATGGAAACGCCGGACTCCTTCTCAGCTTGGAAGACTCTGCCGGGGTGACGAATTCCCCGCTGTACATCGCAGTCCGAGACCCAGGAACACCTCTCAGCCACGATGAGGCGGCAAACCGTTAGGAGACAAGAAGTCAAGAATTTGAAATCCGAGGCAAACCTGTCGTCGAATGTCGTGCTGTTATCCAAACGCATAAACGAGCTACAGGAAATCACCTTGTTACGTATCCAACGTAAACAGCATTGCAGAAGCGCATTCATAACTTCCGCTCTATCATCTCTAACAACTACATTCATCAATCTTTAGACCTGTTCAATAATGATGGACGTGTCATAATGTTATTTCTCCCTTCCGAGGTCTGACGTACTTTGTCCTCAGTGACTGAGAGGACCTCATTCGATTCCGACGGGTTCAGAATTAAATAGTTGAAGAATCTACTGCCAGTGTTCATCAACCCAATAGTTCCACTTTTTATACCCTAATTGTAGGATCACGAAGAATTAGAACGGTGCTATCGTTGTGTAAAAACAAACCAGCATAAGAATATCAAATTTTACCCTGCACTTGTACCTGTGGTCACTAAGTCGTTTGCGCGAGTAACCCTTCAAAAAAAGCAAACAATGCTACACAAAAACCAACAGGGTACGAAGTATGCTTTCGAAATGTCTTCAGCAAGTGAGAATGTTCCCATATAGTTGCAAAATCAATTAAAGCACTTCTCCAGTACAACATAGTACTATTTAAAATTCAACCACAAGGATGCTGCGACATAGCCAAAACTTGGACTTCGAAACTGCGATCACCCATTCCACGGTCTCACGTATTACCCACCATACCAACCGAGGCCGTTGCTTTGTCTTTCTCTTAGGCATTTTTTTACACTAATGGTGCTATCAGCAATAACCCATCAACGCGAAAACACGTCTGAGAAGAAAGTAAAGCAAGGTCCTCGATTGGTGTGGTGGATAGTAGGTATTTTTTTCTATTTTATTTGACAAGTCTCCACGTCTACTGTGCGGATTTCACCACTTCTCAAATTCAGTTCGTTTCCTTGCATCCACTGCCGACGACGATCTTCCGAATTTTAACGTATGGCTTCACTTGCCACTTCAGGATTTTCATTTCATCTTGAATGCCGTAAAATGCTGGTCGAGTTGATTCTCCCTGGAGTGTTGAGATAGCTGGGCTAGAGCGCTCCCAATTGGATTGCAGAGAGTGGTTTTCCCCCAGACAAGTCCGGTACCAATTTCCCCACACCCGGGATGAGAGGCTTGGTTGGCCCACTGAGGATTCGAACTAGTACCATGCTCGTGATGACGGGCATCATTACCATTGTGCTATCCGCCCCATGGATAGTAGTTAGTTCCTGATAAGAGTAGCTGCGGGCTCGAAGCCCTCCAGAAGCTCTGAGTTTTGCTCATATTTTAGTGTCTTTATTGTTGTTTTCCACACAGCACCTTGTCATAAAAATGGGAAATAAAAGTTAGGACACCGCTATGTGTCACTTTCATTGGTTTCAAAAATCCTTCTGAATTCATTAGGATACAAGCAGTTATTAGGGACCGCTCTTATTGAATCATCATCAAGACGATTGTCGCTGGTTTCGACACTCTATGCGGAAAAAACCTCCCAATGGTTTACACTCTCATTGTGGCTGAGAGATATTCCTGGGTATCGGACTGCGATATACAGTGGGGGATTCATCCACTCACAGGGTCTCCCAAGCTGAGAAAGAGTTCGGCGTTCCCATCGGGAAGTCTAGCTAAGAGTAAACCAATAGGAGGATCCACCACCGTCCTACTATCAAACTAGTGGTATGGTGGCAAATCTCTCTCGAATCCACAAAGGCGGGAACTGCCTGTGGTGGTGACGACCTCGGGCAGACTTTGGTTAAGCTAACCTCGGGACTCCAGGGAAACGCAGTGGCTAAACCAGAAGAGCTCCCAAAAATGGGGAATATGCTGAGGCCCGCACAACCAGTGAGGACGGGCAGTCCAAGTATCCAAGTAGGGCGAGAAAATAACTTACGATTATAGGTAAGGAAATGTATACTTATTACGAAAAAAGAGTTTGCTTCAAAAATCTATCTATGGTCAACGAAAAAACCATCTTAGATGCTTTAAATATATGTGGCTAGCTCAGGAAGTCCAGACATAATGAACTATTAGATTCCAGAGCACCGAGGAAGTTCTGAAGAAGACGATCAAAATGAGATTTCATGGCCCTCCCTTCAAGCCTATGGTTCTCCATAAACTGATACAGACTTCAGAAACCTAGATGCGCGATACCGGCAGAGTTTTCGAACGTGCCATTGCTCAGACGATGTTTGGAAAAAAGCGACCTTTGCACGCGTGGGCGAAGGACCACGATGTCGAGTTTATGAAAACCGATGAAGGTAGTGTCCGTCGCTGCACGTCCTATCCAAAACTATACATGAGAGACATATTATTCGTTCGTACAACAACTTCTTAACGAACGTCAATGTGTTTTTTTCAAGAAAAAAAGAAGAAAAGAAAATAAACTCAACGAAAAATGTGACGGTTAATAGCACTCAAGAATGCAAGTCACAAAGCAACATTAGAACACGACAGGATGGAATGCAGAATTTATTGGCGCCCACTCGATTTACTCGACAAGGAGACTGCTGCAGATTATCCTAACTTTTCTGGCAAAATGCAATTATTTGAACACGGGAAAAATCAAAAACCTCACCTTGCTAGGTGGGACTTTCCACTGCCAGGTACTCCTCGCATCAGCACCATCACACTATGCCCATTCCGAATACACTTTCGAACATTCTCTAGAGGAGTATTAGCGTCGTAGCACTGAACGTGCTGTAGTCTTTGCATTTTGGAAACAGCAATCTGCAACATAGGAAATGCGCAGCCGTAAACGCGGAATTCACGTCGTACATCTAATTCTGACTAAACAGCTTCTTTTTAACCCTTAAAAACCTTGCGTATAAAAAATTTATGCTTCGATCTATTTCAAGAGTACACCAGCATATTTAGCGAGAGACTGGTACAAACCTTACAAATTTCGCAAAAATAGTTATATTTTTCACCGTAACAAAGAAGAACGTAGGTTCCTTGAAATTCAAGAAAAACCACTTGTACAATGTCTGGATGAGCTCGTTATCCAATGGCTATTGGATTCCCACATCAATTTCCTCTCAATGCGTTCGAAAAACCCAACGGATTTACCAAATAACTTTATAAATCAACGTCAATAAATGCCGATTTTAAGAAGAGGAGTGTATGAACGGACGAGTAGATAGGTGCAATTGAACTGGTTACCTTTCTATATTAAGCTTGTTTTATTGAAACAAAAAAGTTTTTGGAACAAATTAGTAGATGATCGATGACTAAATGACACGACTAACCAATCACTAAAAAGATTGGTTAGTTCAAGTAGTTCCAAATCACATGTACCACCACCCATATCTTACAGCACCCAGTATGGGCACTATAGGGTCCATACGTCCTTGGCCCAAAGTACGATATGGACACTAGTGTCCACCTTGAGCTCGGCGGCTTCTAGAAAACTGTTACCTACAATATATATATAGCTAATCGAAACCAGATCAAAATAGGAAGGGTGAGACCAGAAAAGCCATTCTCTACGCTTAATGTTCTCAAAAAACTTTTCTTCGAAAAGGTTCATTGACCAATAATTTGACTACTAATTAATTCTTATTTCACTAAAATCATTTCGTTCATAGTATAAAATATGTAGACATAGAAAATACCGAAATATACAAAACACTGGGTGCAAAACATTTACAAATGCTGACGGAAATACATTTGCACAACGGACCATGATGACTGACATCGTAAATAGTAGGATACACATACCTCACTCTCAGTGAACGATAAAACAAAGTATCTACAAATAGCTGAGAGACGGGCGAAACGAAGGACCCGCATGGTGTGGTGGTGAGCGCGTTACTCCCTGGAAAGGACAGTAGCGCGTTCGTTCCCCACCGCAGACACAGGCGGTCCGGTGTTCTGCAAATATCTCAGCAACATTGTGGTTGTATCTACAAATGTCTCATGTTCACAGCCCCTAAAGCCTCCTAGTTATTGAGAAAATTATTTTTCATAGCCAAAAAGCAAGAAAAAGTCCGCAGACGACAAAAAACCATTCGTATCCCACTGGTCGGCTGCGCTTTGGGGATATACTTGATACTCGAACGGCCCGTCCCCACTGGTTGTGCAGGCCCCAGCATAATCTCCACTTCTCGGAGATTTGCTGATTAAACCGTTGCGGTTACTGGAATTCCGAGGTCAGCCTGGCCAAAGTCTACCCCAGGTCTTTACCACCATGGGCAGCCGCAGTCCTTGTGGATCAGAGGGAGATTTACCACCATACAACTTTGATACCAGAACGGTGGCGAATCTTGGCATTTACTCAGCTTACTCTCAGCTGGGCTTTCTGATGAAAACGCCGAACTCTTTCTCACCAAAGGAGGGCCTGCCATGGGGGTAAATCCCCCGCTTTACGTCGCAGTCCGACACACAGGAACACCTTCCAGCCACGATGAGGTGGAAAACCGCTGGGAGGTTATGGGATTTACAACAGAAAACTGCACGACTTACCAGGTCGAATCACGTCGTCCCAAAAGACTCCCTTAACCGACACTCTCTTGGCGAGTGACACCTATAGGTGTCATAACAGCTTAGCGGGTGTGGTCGGTATAGCGCCTATAGGTCTCGCTTTCATTCCAGTGGTTCATTTTAACGCACAGAACAATACTCTCATACGTTTTGTTCCTTTCTCTTTATGTGTGTTCTACAAATACATGTTCCGTTGGGCTTTGGTAGGGAAAAGCTCTATTTTATGCCTAGAAGTATACAAAAATATATCCTAAATATAAAATGCACGTTAATACGACATAAACGCATAAAACATAAAAATTTATATTCAGTTCTATAAATGTAATACACATATATCTACACTATGCAAATAGAAAGCTATTTCAATTCTAATTACTACAATTAATGACAGTTATTGTACACAATGTGCGCATATAAAAGATACTAAAACAAAAGACCCATAAGTTGCAAAACACTTCCAAATGCTTACAGTAATGTTTATACGATGGGCCGCAGTAGCATATAGTAAATGAGAAAGAATAAAGGATAAAGCTCTTGGCGTTGATCAATCCCTGAGGGATGCGCCATTCATTCGACTTCGTTTAGCATCGTTTGGAGGTGATTGAATACATATCTGGCCCATACAATGACTCCTGGTGGCCTACCGATGTATCGAGCCAGTGCTGTTATCCTCCTAGACAAGTCTGGCACCAATTTGCCTACCCTGGAGGGATGAAAGGCTTGGTGGCCCACGGGCGCGAGGATCGATTCCACGTGTGTGTTGCAAGGCGCCTCCCACCACTGCGCCACACACTGTTGAGTTAGGTTATAAAATTGTTCATTAAGGCGATCTAATAACACCCCACTCAGCCATACAGAACCAGGAAACCTGTTAAGAACATCGCTGCTGGATTTTCAAGGACAATTCTTAAGAGAAAAAGTTAACGATGGAGTTTCTACGCGAAAAGTTAAATTCCATTCTTGAAACCATCACTATGTTCCCTTCAACGATTTCGTTTTATCAACTACGTGATCAAATGTACCAATCATAGGTTCAAGACCTCTAGAAACATAACGTTACCGGAATGAAACTATTTATAAAATTCCATAGAAAGAAATGTAACACGTAGGCACTAACAACATCAAGTATAACTTTATTTGCGTAACATCTAAGCCTAAAATCATTAACCCATCATTTCCTAATCCGCTAGTTCAGCAATATGATACGTAGAAATTTGAGCGCTAATTTGACTACTTAGCATTGGAAAGTGAAACATATACTCGAATTAGCTGGTAAATCCACAGATAGCACTTACGGTCATTGATCACTCGACTAGAGCTTGCTCATTTACTAAGAGACTCGTTTACTAGCAATGAAGCACCTTACGCCACCCTTATCAACTAAACAAGTCACGCACGCCTACATTGTGGTCCACAGATTATTAATGTAAAAGGACAAAAAACAAGCTACATGTCTGCATCTCAAAAAGAGTGATGAACAACGGACACAGCATTCTTTAAACCATACTTGTTCATGCGCTATTACTGACTAACAATAACAGATTGTTCAGACGAAGTGCTAAACGGGAACACTTGGTCGGAGTTGACTTGGAATTCTATGGAATCATGATTGTTTTTCAAACCACGGCCTCTCCTAAAATACAAAGGCCAACACTTTTGTCTACTTAAACGTATGAATATGAGAAATCGTGACCAGAAGAAAAAGCAAATCATGTTCCAAGCAATGCGAATATAGCTGACGGAAAGGTGGCGTCTGTACTTGTAGTTTACGATTAAAGTGCAGCTCCATGAAAGTGGGAGAAAAAGTCCAGTGGCTATAAATACGACTAAATTTGAAGAAAATGAACTTTGAGCACCAATTATAACACAAACAAGAAAAAAACGAAGAAAAATACAACACTATAGAAGGTCAAACAAATCAATCGAACTGTGATTGTCGTTCAATAATGTGTTTTGTACGCAGACGCAAATTACATAGACGCCTAAATTGGATTAAACGAGAATTTCCAGGTAGAGATCTGATACGTAGTCATAAAAACATCGAATGTAGCCTTATTTGTGCAACAAATAGCTCTAAGGCCATTTTTCATCCTGAATGAGCCATTTCGTGAGCCACGTCACCATATTCCTCCGTTTGCATCCCATCGATTGTTTCCTTTTCAAGTTGTTATAGACAGTGCATATATTTGTAAAGTCCATGATCCGTGACACGATTTACCCACTTCGATACTTGGATGGCCCGTCTTCACCGGTAGTGGGGGCACAACGTAGTTTCCACTCGTTTCACTATCGCGCAATCGTCGTCTATTGATAATGGCCTGCTTCGAACATGATGACGTACGCGATGCCCATCCCGAATTCATAAAAGCGTTTCCTTCTGCGAGTAAAGATGGTTGTCGTTAACCACGAACACGTACACCCATCGTTTGAATGGACGTCGAAGAGGACGGGAGTTTTCGCAGGAGTCCACTCCACTGTTCTTTTCGTCCATCTGTCATCTGTTCTGATTACGTGACGGTCTCATCTGTGCTTCGCTATCTACGTATACTCTCTGAATTCCGGACATGGAATAGCTTTCGAAGGTCTTAGCTGCGTGTTCCAGCTAGACATTGTGACTGTCGGTTACGTTTCAGAGGAAATCTTTCAAGCGCTCGTGTGCACAGTAGTACGCAGTATTGCTGACGTAGTCGAAGTATCTAGCCCACGTCACCGCTGCATAACACAGCGCCAAGAGGTCTTCTGAGTCGAAAAGCGTGGAATTTTGGGTTCTTTGGTTGATCAGTGAATTGTCTGCGGACTCGAATGCTGTCCAAGCTGCTCTGCTTCTGATTCTTTCCTCATATTCTTATCCGTGTTCATTGAACGTCCAAACTATAGGTTCGAGGTGCTCCCTGCAACTAGAAGAACCACCCATTTTGATTGTTCACCGTCGCACCATGGGTTCTTCATGAACTGGGCGCTCGTCCCATTTATGCGCAGTCCAGTCTTTTTTCCTGCTTCGTTGATTTCATTGAGCCTCGTCTCTGCTTCACTGGCACTTCTCGAAAGGACGACGATCTCATCCACGAAACGAAGATTTGATAGGAACTTAGCATTGACACATACGCCGTTTGGGCGCGTGTGGCGCAGTGGTCGGAGGCGCTCTATGACAAACACACGTGGGATCGATCCCTGCGCCCATGGCCCACCAAGTCTTCCATCGTTCTGGAGTCGGCAAATTGGTACCAGAATTGTCTGGGAGGATAGTAGCACTGGTTCAATACATCGGTAGGCCACCGCGAGTCATTGTAAAGGCCACATGTACATCCAGTCACCTCCAAACGATGCTATGCGAAGTCTAGTGCATGATGCATCCCTCAAGGATTGACCAACGCCCAGAGCTGTATTCGTTAGCTTTTATCCCTTATGTATACCATTCTCGTCCCCATCGAGTGACTTCATTGTCCATTGAAGCTCGGTATTAAAGAGCTTTAGCAATATAGTCCTGTCTTGTCAAACCCCGTTTCGTATGGAAATGGTGAGGGGTCGATCAAAATGCTGCGTATTTGTAGTACAGTTCCGGTAATAGTCTGCCGGTGTTTCTATATCCACTCTTCGCTCACCGTTCTTGGGTAGGATGAGAGTGCACAACGTCTTCCATTGGTCTGAGATTTTCTCCTTTTGAAGGAAAGATGTCACGTACATTGCAAGAAATACATGTAACTTCAGGCCTAAGGAAGTCATCGATGATATTATCAGAGCTCTCCCTCTCTTCGTGTTTTCTGTCCCAAATCGAACTTCAGAGGGTAGAATCCCAAGCGGCTTTTCAACAGCGAAGATTTTGGGGTCCATGACGGGAGTTGTGTGGCGGAAAAGACTGGTATAGCACATTTTTATTTCTAAAAAAGGTTTTCTATTTTACATCATACAGGACCCGTCATCACATTCCATTGTACTAATCAGAGAACTTCTATATTCGATTCGTTTCCCGTCATATCCACCGTCCACAATGGTGTTAGAGCATTTCTCGTGTTGTTTCGGCTGCTGTTTGAGCATTTCGACTTCTTTGTGAATGTCGTAGAATGCCGGTCGAGTCGATTCTCCTTGCAATCTTGGAGATAGCCGGGTAAAGGCGTTTCCATGTGGATCAGAGGAGAGCGTTGCGGTCGGGATCGAGCCAGCGCCTTTGCTTCCTGATCGACGACATCACTAACCACTGCTGGCTTCAACATCGAAACAAGTCATGAAGCTTTTTACCCTTCCCACAACATAAATGCATTGCTGAGACCATAATACCCAGTATGAGCACTATGGTGTTTTTTTCAGTGTAGTACTTATTTAGATACTTGGATGGTCCGCCTTCACTGGTTGTTCGGTCCTCAGTACAACTTCCATTTTTCCGGAGTTTTGCTGTAATTCAGTGTAGTAGATTCCAAAAAAATTTTTTTTTACCGCACTATCTGTATTTACTCAATAGCTGATGGAAACGAGATTGAAACAGGAGGAGCGAGAGAAAAAGATGGCGTCCTCTTCACTTAAAAAAATGATAAAGCTCTTGGCGTTGGTCAATCAATCCTCGAGCAATGTGCCATGCATTCAACTTCATTAAGTATCGTTTGGAGGTGAGTTAGCCTCAGCTTAACTGGGTTCAATGCCGATTTGGTCTCCCCAGATCAATTCCGTTGAGGGGTGATTGCTGATGGCAAAGGATCAGTAGAACTAGCTAGGAGACAGGCGAAACGAAGGACACGCATATTGTGGTGGTGAACGCATTACTCTCCGGAAAGGACAATAACGCGTTCGTTCCCCACCGCAGACACCTGCGGTCCGGAGTTTTGCAAATATCTCAGCATTATGGAAGTTATGTGTCGCAACCAATCCTTCCAATAAAAAAGAATAGGCAATAAATAAAAGCTTAAGGAAACTCTTCCTTCAAAACATAAAATTGTTAGGCTTAAAGCTCTCCAAATCTTTCAGTTAACAAAAACCAATAGCTCAGCACCAAAGAACCGGAGTGATGGCAGTTGGTGATTGGCATGGCGATGAGACGAGGACGAGTTTACCCGTTTGGCTCCGAAAAATTTCTCGCATTCCATTCGGAGATCCACGCTGGGCAGGTAGCGTTATCCCTTACACGACAACGCTACTTTTTTTCAAGTTTGCTTTGTTATTGCTGTGCTTCCTGTGAAACCTGGTGGCCACTTGTGTCCTCTCAGTGAATAGCCCAACCGCCTTTATTGTGATTTCCGTTCTATGATTCGGTCTTCTCTGCGTTTATCTCATCCCATGCGTGCACTTAGATGCAGGTAATTCCAGGATGTGAACTCTCTGTTTCTGCTGTGCCGATTCGACACGAATGTTCTGTTTCACCTGTATCAGCTGTAGTTCCGTTGATCGTCGAGCGACCCGAGCCGGCGCCAAAAAGTCATCCATTTTTCCTTGTCGAGTGCAAGAGTAGCCCAGTGGGTTCTGTTTGCTCTAGAGACTCGTTGAGCATCATACCTTTTTCTAGGGTTTCCGTGAAGAACTCTGACCATCGGGTTGGTGGTCTTCCTGCAGTACGTTAGACATTCCGAGGAATCCAGTCACTAACGGCTCTAATGCATCGGTTGTCGTTCGAACCCACTGCCAGTCCGGCCCGCCTTATCTGCGTCAGTTTGGCTTATACAAAGAGCGCGATCTATATCTATGAGGACATATCCACATCCATGCATGCGTGTTTGTGTGGCCCTAGTTTCTGTGGTATGTATTCTACGAGTCAGTTTGGCGAAAATCCTGCAATCAGGTGATTGGGAAGCACGTGGGATGTGGAAAACTAGTCTTAGAAGTCTTTTTAGAAGCAATTTGAGTTGGAGATTGTATGACATTATTTGTATTGCCTATAACCTCGCTAATTGTCAAGGATTACGGAGAAGTACTTCCAATGTGTCCATTTATTCCTGTCATTCGCCAAAATTGCCCAGAGTGCGCTGCCAGTTTATGATACACAAGAAGCATTACAATTTCAGCATTTAGTCCTTCATTTTTGCTGTCTTCTGCTCGGCGGGTTCTGCTATGGGAGGCGAGAAAGTTCACTCACAAGCAGCTTTTCGCGCTATCACAGCAGGAGTGGACTTTTTTTTTTTTTACTAAGAAGAACCATGAATTGTTGTCCATGCACTTTCTAAACGCACGACTTTGGCTATCCTAAACTGCGGCGTACAGTCCTGCATGTACGATAGCGTATAATAGGCTATGAGGGCAAGGTTTGGGAGTGCAGCTCATTGCTGCGATACCATAAGGTGGGATTGCTTTTCGGACGTTGCTAATGCACAAGTTTTATTCTCACTAGTAAAATGTCTTTCTAGTGAAACCACGATATGTCACTGTACCTTTTGTCCTCTATAGGCTTTTTTATGGAATGATGGTTTATATTTTTTGCTTCTACTAGGTTTGAATCATGTTCTACATGTTTATGACTCCGCACGTGCTTTGGCAGTGGATGGTGTGAGATTTTATTGACGGATTCGCGATGATTCAACGGAAATAAATTCCTGGTTTCTTCCCATGTTTTCAATCTCGTGACATTGCCATCTCACAACTATGCTAACAACTCTCGTACATCGAACAGTCTCTACTCCTTTCCCTCTTCAACGAGACCGTTGTGCTGAGAGAAGATCCACTCACGACACTTTATCCGTAACGACTCTTGTCATTAAGTTGTGTACAACTCTACATCTTAACACTATTTTCCGTCTACCATTTTATCCTTCTTATACATTTATAGGTATAAACGCTTCAGTGACAAGCTTCAGCAATTTATTGTTTTCAGTATGGACTAAAATTTCACGATGGATCTGATTGTGGCGCAATTGTTGTGAAATCTAGTTCTTGTCACGGGTTTATTTAAAAATTGAGGTCATTTGTTACATAGAAAACAAGCGAAGACACACGTATTTATACTTGTTTCTACGTTTTTAAGGCATTCCTTATTTGCTGTAGCTACCAACCAGCGACGTAACCCTTTAAGCATTGCATTGCTAAACTGAACTAAACTCTCAGTTTCTCTTTAATCGTTTTCACTTGCAAGAAGTTGCTACACTTTGTTGTAGACTTTTAGAATTTACTTGGCGTCGGATTTTATGCGCTTCCTTTAACTGCTATTTGTTGAAGGAATTGTGTATTGGTTCTCATTTTCATACCCATAACGTTTAAATATTTCCGTTGGAATGTTGATATGTCCTCGTCGACGAAGTTAGAAGCGTTATATGAAGAATTGAAACAAGTCGATGATGGGACTCATCCGGAATACTTGGCGAAATTGCGGGAGATAGAAGAACTCTATGAGGAACAAAAGGAGCGCGAGCAAATAGCATATGAGGTTGGAACTGCTACTATGAAATAGTTTGAAAGCTCGGTAACACCATACTAAGTTCTATCTTGGAAAACCTTTCTTTACTGTATTATTTCATGTACTGTTCATTTAACAGAGCTATAGTACTGAGCTTTTGATGTAACTATTTGAGCTTGCTTTGGAACGGATAGACTATGAATACAAACGGCGAGTACAACAAGCGAAAGATGATTTTGAAAGGAAGGAGAAAGAACTTATGCAAAGCATGTTAGCGGTAGGTTTAATGTGAACATTATGAACATTCTTGGACTTGCTTATGTATAATAAGCAATTAAGGAACTGGATGAAATGGAAAAACGCATAGAGTGGGAATATTCTAACATGGATGTTTCTCGTGTTGGGAATGGAAATATCATTGATTCTACGAAGAAAACGTTACGGGGGTATGATTTATGATAGTACTTTCTTTTTTGTTTTCAAATTTAATTTTATCTGTGATGAGAATTAGACAACTCTTTAAATCAAGCGCTGGGGTTCGAATGAAGAGACCTACGAACTAAGCTGGTTTCTGACTATTCGGTTTTTCCACATAGGTTCTAAGTACACTCTAAATGGAGCTTAGTCCTAAATGGAATAATTCTCTAGCCGAGGAGGGATTTTGGTCGAACCGCCAACGTATTTCAATGCTACTCCAAAGCCTAGCACACAGAACATTACACCTGATACGAGATATCTACTCACGGATTCTGAAATCGCTGAGGATGTGCGCGCATTTTCTGGGGATCAGAGCAGCCCACACAAGGTAACTAGATTTCTGATTATATTTAGTCACCTTACCATCTAGTCCTTAATATGGAATTTTTGATAAAGCAACATAAAGTGGTTCACATTTATTTGAAGAACTTCTCGAGAGATTTTCTAGCCAAAGAGTAGATCTCGTTGCAATCTTTCGTAAAGCATGGGACAAAACAAGAACGCTATTTCAGGCACAACGACTTTTTGAAGTAATATTGGTAAAGCAAAAGTTGACCTATGAAGGGAAAGTGTGAGTATTTTTTCCTTTATTTGTGCAAATAGATCTGTGGACAAGTCGACCAATAAATATTATCTAATAGAAAATATTGTTCTCTATTGTAACTTTATTCTATGTGTCTTCTGATAGTGGCGAGTGCCCTATATTCACATCCCATCCTTACCATCAGGCACGGGTCGCAAAGTCTAGCCCTTAAGCAATAAGTCGTGCCTGGTAGCATGCGTGGTGGTGTGTCTGATAGTTATAGTTGCCGTATCTACTGGTGTGCCCGATGGATAGGATGGGATGTGAATATAGAGCATTCGCCACTACCAGAAAACATACAAAATAAAGTTACTATAGAGAACATTATTTTCTATCAGATGTTTATTGGTTGATTTGTTCACAAGACCGCCATAAACAAAATTCCAAAGTGCTTTTTAGATACAAACCAGGTGAAGAAGTTCATGTGGAGAATATGGAATATGGAAAGTTCCCAGCCAAAATAGATTGCATTTCTGATGCTGTGGTTTCCTTCAAATCCACACTGCCTTGGGATACTAGACAGATTCATGCCTCATATTCAGATCTAACCGAAGGACGGGTTCAAATTGCAAAAAAGAGGAGTAATTAGGATCATAAGCATACTACGTAGTGTTAAAGCATTTTTTGGTGCTCTATTTTGTTCATTTCAATTAAACATTGGAATCCAATCACAACGATGCTGAGATAATCGCAAAATTTGGATCCCGGGCCGGATCGAACCACGACTATCCTTTCTGGAGCTTGCGTATTACACACTGCACCACAGAGGCTTTGCGTTTCTCTCAGCTAGTTCTCTACCTAACGCTGTAAAATTGTAGCAGGCTGCAAATAAAAGGTTAACATTGTAAACATTGAAATCGTTTGCACAACCATTTATAATTGTAAAAGATAATGTCTTGTTTTCATCAAACTTCAAGTCTGTAGTCCACGATATTTTTGGAAGAATTATAATCTGAAATGAAGAATATGTCAAAGTAAAGCCATACATAAGAAAAACGGTAGAAATATTCCGCATCTACTTCCACACTTTTTTATAATACATAGGTTCGATCTTACGAGACAGTATGATTGGACTACGTCAGTACCGCTGTTTGCAAGATGAAAACCTTAGTCGTCTTAGCTACCAGATGCACAAACTCGAGACGAAATATTTTGTTTGAAAAGAAATCTGCACCTGAATAGAATAACAAGAAAAGGCAGAAATACTATAAGATTATAACAAGCGTGAGCGGTACACTAAGAATTCTCCTAACCTTGAAGAGCTCCTAAAACTATATGGTTAAATGGAAGAAGTGAACAATACGACAAGAAAGTTTGAAAAGTGAAGAGATCTTTTTTAAACTAAGCATAGCTAATCACAAATTTAATAAAGAATTCAATAATGGTATTGTAGGTTGGCAGGACGGTGTAGAGCTACTTATAAGGAGGATATGCCCAGTATGAAAGTACAAGAACAGTTTCATAAGCACCAAAGAAGATGAAACCACCCGCTGCCATCCATAACACTCTTGGTGTAATACCGGAAAAAAGCGCCAGAAAGCCAGCGTGTGAATACACCTGAGCGTAAATAGATGTGCAATTTTGGCAGTAATCGAAAAACGAATGGTATAAGAAGACGATGAGACTATGGAAAAGCATACTTCTTTCAGTGTGCACCATATGGTGGGTGTTTTCTTGCAGTTCGAAAGCATTATCCTAGTTTTCGCCACATCGAAGGGTGTAGTTGCTGCAGCAGCACAGGATCCTGCAACACTTCCACAGGCAGCACCCTCCAACGGAGAGCAATCGGTTCCCTTAAAAACAAATGGTAGCAAGAATTAAGTGTGGGGCAATGAAAAATACGCTCCAAAAGGAGGACGTTCATCATGAAAGATAGTTTCTCGCACCTTCTTAGAGGCAGCAGTCGTCTTGAGAAACTCCCAAAGTGGGAACTCAATGACAGAAAAAGGTATCTCCCTTGCAATAGTACTCAGATATCCTCTATAAAACCCGAACACACGACCCGACCTGTATATTTCTCGGCATACTTGACATAGACTCCGCTCATGAATCGACGCCTGAGTGAAATAGGTTATAATCAATGTAGAACTAAAAAAATGATTAAATACGCACTTGTAGGCGTTGTTTCACGAGCTCAGTTGGAACACGTACAAGACATGCAACAGCTTCTGCGAAGCTAGCTGACATCGCATGGCAAAAAGCACCTGAAAGTCGAAAAGGGATAAAAGTTGATGATAATACAGACCACAAGAAATGGCGAAGAGATTACCACCAACTTTCTTCCGAAAACAGACGATTTAGTAGTCTATAATTTAAAAAGAATAAAGCAGCTCCAGGTGCCGACCCTACAGCAACGGGTCCCATACCACTGAATTAGTGAGTTAAACAACAGCTAAAGTTAAGTCAAACAAAAAAGTGAAAAATTGAGTTAAATGAAGCAGTAAAGAGACAACTTCTAGAAATAAGAAGGACTCATGCCTATATAGATTTCTGAAACCTCCTGCTGCGACGAAACCTTGCTTGCTTTGCAAGCGTGTCTTCATTGTATCCAGTGGGTAAAGTCCTAGGTCGACAGCTAAACCTGCCCCGGCTCCACAAACCAACCATCGCACAACATCTTCATTCATGTAGACTCCTAAATCATAAGATATGGATTTAAACTAACTGGACCTAGTTAATTTATACACAGATTTGCAGATAGAGTACAAACTCAAAGCACGATTCCTCATGGAATTAGAGACAGCTTGACATAGTGTCAACGTTTCTGACATCTATTAAACAAAAGGAAGAAGAATTTCCACAAATAATTCGTCATCCTGAGAAAGGTCTAGTCTCAACACGGCAAAGTTTCCTTCGATCTATGAAGTTCGGCGAGTGGCCGTAATGAGGATATGATATAACCGTTTTCAGACTACAGGAAAGAAGCTTGCCCAATCGGAACGATATCAGCTAAAGGAAGAAAAGAGGTCCTAAAACATCTTTTTAATTAACATACGAACTATTGGGAACACTGGAGCTTATGTAACGGGAACGGATTCTGTCTCCAGCCTTAAATTTTGTTTGCAAAGAAATCTTTCGCAATAATTTTTCTGTCCAATCGATAACCTGTCCAACATCGACGTTGTGTGGTATGTCGTCCGTGGACTACCTATTATACTTCATGGTTTACGAAAAAAAAAATTCTTTCGCACGAGCTTCCTCTCCAGGTGCAGGACTGTTGCAGAACAGGAGGCTAATGTGATGTCACTTATCACAGAGACCACTGTTTTTGAGGAGGTGGATAAGACATTTGTGCGTTAATCAGTATAATCCCACATAGTGCGTTCAGTTATCGATATGGTTTCGTATAGTGTGCTTAAATATGGGTAGAAATAGATGATTAATAAATATATTGTCGATTTATTCTCAACAAGTGTTGCGAAATAGAGTACGTGAGCCTGACGTCGTCATTGCATTAATGACGAGCCTTCCTCATTACACACAAGAACTGCAGATGTCAAGAAAAGAAGGAAAGGTGTATAGAAACACAGAAAGAACACGTAGAAACTGAAAACGCACGAAAAGAAGCACAAATACTGATGGGAAACCGCGCTGCACAGTGAGAAATACAAGAGGCATCATTATAATTGGGGCACAACGGACCGTATGAACTGAATTCAATACACAACATGGTAGCGCAAAAGTTAGGCGTAGATGCAATGATGCACTCATCGAAGAATAACTGCTTATATTGCAGAGGTTTGCAAGAACAATGTGAAGATGCTATGAAAACTATCAAGAATCGGGAGGAAATAGTGATAGCTACGAAGCGTGCAGAACTGGAAGTCCAGCCATATTTGACCAAACTCTGAGTTTCCTCGCTTGTAGTAGAATTTTGTCAAGTAGGAGAAAACGGAGCAAAAAACGAACGTTTCTAACGTGAAATGATCCCTAAAGTACGGTTTCTAAGCATTTTTGAAAACACCGTTTTAGGTCTTTAACAAATTCTAACGTCATAACTGGTCTGGCGACTTTCCAAAGGCTACGAAATTCACTTTATTCACTGGTCAAGTGTTTCACCAAGTGTTTCCTCGCGAACTCACAAGATCAGACTCACTGGAATGAGCAATGCACACGAGAGTGGGGAACGGAGAATAAGCAATTGGCTTAAAAAATCCCACTTGGTTGCTTTTCCATAATTTCCATTTCGTCAGGCTCATCTTTTTAAAAGTGCCAAGTGTGTTATGATCAACCAACGTTATAACACCATGCAGAGAAATAAGTTGTCCGTTATTTAAAGGATCCGTAGAAGTTACTCCTTAAGTTGTTTTCCACAGGAATTTCAGGTGATTTACTTCACTTAGACTTCGCCTAAAAGTACTATCTTCAATATACTCGTTTAGACTGTTCAGCTTACAAGAGGTTGTCATACAACCTTCATTCGGCTAAAACGTCTTGGTTTTCTTCAGAATCGATGGTCTCAGTTGATGGTCCACTCCATAATCGCGTGGTAGGCCTTTGCAGTCCTACCGAGTCGAATTTTCTTCGGTAGAGCACCGCCTGAATCAAATAACCTCACTTGGCAGTTCCACTTTTCTACAGGTCGGTTGTTGACTGATTGTCAACTGGTGATGATTTCTTTTCGTGTTGGCAGTCTATCGTGTACCAATCGGCATTGGAGCAGGTAGGAGCATAGTGAAATAGTACTTTACTAAACCGACTTCTACAGATCAACGACTCGGTTCATCCTATCTTAGGAAGACGAAGACATCGGAACGTTAGTTGAAGAAAGATTATGTAAGGACCTTGTGTAAGCTGAACAGTCTAAAGAAATATATTGATTATTCACGCCTACGTCAAGTGCAACTCGGTTTAGTACAGTCCTACTTTCAATCTTTTCCTAGCTTTCAAAAGACGTAATATTATTGATGTCAAACCAAATTTAATTTAGGCAATTACATCTCCTAACCTAAGTGACGCAAAAATGAACTAAATAACGAGTCATTTCGAATTGTTAGGGAATTACCTTTTCGCAAGTGAGGATCCCTCCAAAAGAAAACCGGGTCATTTCTGGAAGAGTCCGCAAAGATTCGTTGTCTGATTTGTTTTGGTACTTTTAATAACAGTCGCTTGTAAATGAATGTTCTCTATCTGTCTACTTATCCTGAATTGTCGTTCTTGTCACTTTCGCTTTTACGAGGTCCTTTTCTAAAGCTCGTCATTCTTATTTAGGAGCTAGCGTATGTATGGCAAATGCATCGTGTGCATGGCGTGAGACAAATATATAAAGTAGGACTGGTAAGGTTTTGAGTTTCATTATGGATTACCTATTAGCTTTAGCTGCTCATAAGGACCTTAGCGCTTTCACATGAATCTTTTCCAAATGTCCATATCCATTGTTAAAAGCAGCGTTTCAGAATTGAATCAGATGCCATGGCTCGCCGATTTGAATGGTGGGTACGGCAGACATATCTTTGTCTGATTCCTTCATATCCCATAGGATATTTGATCGTCCATGGTGCCTATTAAAACAGTGTTTTTCTTCTTCGCATATGATCTTGAAGTTCAGACAGACGGTAACATTTTTAGGATTCCGTGAAGAGTTCTGGGCGAAAATGTATCTGAATCGAAGCACTTTTCCTGCACCCGAGAGCTTGGAAGACTTAGTCGAGTCAGAAGTGGATAAACTAGGTAGCCTAAAGCATGGGAAGGTTAGTTGTCCTACAAGCAAATAAAATTGTCCTAAGATAAGCTATGTCGAAGTGAGCGTAGGGAAAGTCTTGCCTATGTTGAGGTATTGGCAAAACGGTCCCCGGGCCAGATCGAACTACGATTACCCTTTCCAGAGGCTCGTGCATTACACACTGCACCACGGAGGCCTTTGATCTGCGTTTCTCTCAGCTATTTTTCTACCTAATAATGGTCTCAATAGAATTGTATTAGGTTTTAATAGAGTTTCATCAGATATATTGAGAGAAAAAAAACCATCCAGAAGAAGCAGGTAACGTCAGAATAGGGAGGACATTGTTTGTAAGTTCTGGATTTGTTCACTTAGACCCACTTTTCACTGTTGTTGTTTAGGTTTTAGTCTGTTTAACGGACCACAGTGAGCCACGTGTCTATGGAGGATTCTTTCTAAAACCGGGTGTGGAACTGCAGTTGCCAATAAATGTCTCGTTTGATGACGTAGAGCAAGCACGACGATTGGCGAACAACATTGAAGTCGACCTGGGTCTGGCTAGGTTTGTTACTTACTTGGATTTCTCGATTTGGTCGTTCAACATAGGTTTATGGCTATTGTTCCAGCCACGTGATCTTCGATTCCGCTTAGGAAGGTTTAAATTAAAGGTATTTTTAAGGGCGGTATGTACCGTGATTTCTATTACCGCAACTTTTTTCAAACACAGTTCAGGAAGAAATTTAAGCAATCATTACCAACATAAAGGTCTCCACCAGGATTTCATCCCATTTTGCTAAGTCGTCAATCATGAAACTCTGAAATATAGTAGAAAGTAGTACTAACACATCTCGTATGAAGCGGCCTTCTTGCGGAATGGATAAGAAAAGGAGTAATTTAAGGAGTAATTTCAAGGAAGGAAAAAGAAGTAAAATGAAAAAAATGAAGAGATGAAAGTTTGTGTGTCTTTTTTGGATGCTGTGTTATACTTGAGATCTTCAGTTGGTCCCATGAGATATCCAAGAGCTGGTACTTAGCTTACCAATATTATTATTATTATTAGTTATATTGGTGGGATGGTGCAGTCATCAACTATATGCGACTATAATCAGGTGTTCTAAACTTCCTCATTGGAAGTCACAAAAAAAAGCGGCTCTAAAGAAGGCGTTACTGCCGAAACGTCAGCTACAGTTGCATTGTATTGTTTTTCTTTTATGGAAGTAAATGTATGCTGTTTAAAAACCTCGCGATTGCCGAACAAGAAAACGACACATTAGTTATATTATTCTATATTATTTCTGCCGAAATTAAAGTTAAATGGAGGTCACTTCTTAGAAATGCATCTAGTAGCTTTAGAAAACAACTCTGTTGATGTTCAGCATTTCATTCATTGGTTTGATTGTGTCAGGCCTGGATTTCATTACATGCCCTACTGATCTTCATAATATAAGTTTTTTTCTACTTAGAAATCGGCGGAAAATCGAAGTGAATTCAAAGATCGGTGATGAGTTGATATCTCGGATGATGCTATCAGATTTGGCGAAGAAGTTCGTAGTGCAACGTCAACTTCAAATAGCCAAGAAGTAAGCATACGTTCGTTTTCTTTCTATAGCAAAGGTGTGTTTATTAGATACTTTAAAGTGTTTCTTTACAGTGGTAGTCTATTTTCCGCCCCTATTTTTGCTTGGGTGGGAATATTTGGTGCTGGATATACCGTCGTAATAGGTATGGCAAATAAGTTTTACTTAAATAACCAAACGTTACTGTTTGAAACGGTAATGGCGCATTGGTTCCCCACCGCAAACACATGTGGTGCGGAGTTTTGCAAATATTTCAGTATCGTTGTGGTTATTGTGTGATTTATGTTATTGAGATCATAGAGTGGCTAGGCCCTATGTTGTATTTAGAACGAAGCCGAATCGCACATTATGATTTTGGGTCTAACAGTAATTTTCGTGTTCTAGTCCATAGTTGATTGAATGTCTTTTTTTAATGGGCTGGACCATCACCAGTTCATTTTCACATGAGCGATACTATTCGTGTTTGGTTTGGAATAGTACTAACTTTACCCAATAGGAGAGTATGTTTTGGTTAGTGCCACGTTTTCTCTTCGTTCTATACTGCCTCTAAATTATTAGTTATTTTTATCTTTGTTGCGTAAATATTCATGCTAAGTACTGAATGAGCCCTAGTCTCGATTTTTTTCAAAAGTTTTGTTGTTTCCTTATAAAGATTGTGAAGCAGTTAGCTGGCTAAGATGTTTTAGTTTAAATGATTTCTATTTTTAAGGTTGCCATTAATAGACGGGTTCATTTAAGGTCTCTCAAAAGTCGTTGGAATTGCTCTTGCAGCAGTTATTGGTGTTGCTGTTAATAGTTTGGCTTTTAGTCGTTTTTATCGTTCATACAACGCTTACAGAACCAAGTGGGCTGATGAGAGAGCTGTTGACCTGTGAGTTTTACTTCTGGGTTATTTATGTCCTTTTTTCTCTTGAAAGCCAATTTCGTCCTAAATAGTTTGCAGAGGTACGGATTATCTACAAGGAGCTCGTGAATATTTCAACTCAACAATGAAGTTTAACAGGTTATTACGAGTAGTTCTAGGAGTGGAAGGTGAGAAGAATATTTCAAGGGATGGAGATCGAAAGTAAGTGCAATTCCATTAGCAGCACTGTATTCTTTATTGATACTCGTTGATCCTATAGTACTTTTAAGATTGGACCAAATTACTCTATCGGAGAGGTTGAAAAATGTTGAAAAGTATTGGCAAATGCAATCCTCATCAGAGAATATTAATCCAGGTTCTACTGGATAGCACATTTGATGCATTAGAAATCAGTTAGAGTTTGTTAATTTGTGACTAAATGGGCTTTATTTATTAGCACTTTTTGTCTTAAATCTATCGACTCTGTATTTCACGTGTTGCTTTGTTGTTTTGCTTATGGTGAGTAATAAAACTTATTACAAGTGCTTGTCTCTTTTATTACGATAAGTAATTGCCAACCTACATTACAAGTAGCCACATATGTGAAATATTTCTGTGCTGTGATACTGAAGTAGAAAGTCATACAGGTGATGTGGTTTTCAACAGCAGTCATATCATATAGGTAAGTTCGCGTACCGTGTGCAGGGTTGGCGAGTAGCTCTCTCAACTAGACTATTGAGATTAAAGAAAATGGAACGAGATCGCGACGACGTTCTTGCAAACGAAAACCGGTCGGCGAGTGCGTATAGCACTGCTTGGTCTAACTGTTATAACTTATCCGGTGGCTTCTGTGCTAACTAATGGTCCATTCGTGGATTACAGTTTTCCCTGGAGGTATGCAACAATATCATATATTTTGTTCCTTTTGCAAACTATGTCGCTGTTTCAGATATTCGGTAGATCAACTCCCGGAAAGGTTACAGGTAATAGCAGACCAGGTGAGCGCTGTTTCACGGTAACTGTACTTATCACTATTAGTTATTAAGACTGCTCAATCAGGGATAACTTGTAGGAGTATGCACGATTTCTGGAAGCAGAAACACGGGTCCCAAAGGATGCTGTTGTAACACATCACATAGGAAAATCTATTGGTTCGTTTTTGCTTCCAATGTTCGCTTAGAACTAGTGCTCTAGTCCTGATATCACAAGACAACGCCTAGGTGCGAAAACGTAACTCTGTTTAGCATGTCATCATGGCTTGATAGAGGTAGTAAGAAGTAGCACGTAAGAAATAATACCTACATAATAACAAACTGATGCAGCTGTGCATTATTAAATTGCGAAATATCATTTTGAGTATTTAACTGTTTTCAATTACCTTTTATTATTAAGAAACGATTAGTGTATTGTTGCTTTAAGAACTAGTTATTTAAGTCATTTATCACCCTGTTTTAAATGGGAACATTCGTAATCGTTCTCCCACGGATTTGTCGTGATATGTCCAAATGATATGCTGTCTGTATAGGCCAGTACGAGACGTTAGCTGCTGGTTCTTTGGGTGTTCGAACTGGATTGCATTTAGCTATTCCCTTCCATGTTAGATTCAAGAATGTTGAGGAGGCTCTGGAGTACTTTCGGTGTGTTTTCTTCAAGAGGTTTTATTTTTGTACAAGAATGTGGTACTCAGTTCTGGCATATAGTACCTGATCTAAGAATAAAGAATATCACACTACATCGGAAACGAGTGTTCCAATTCTTTTACTACTGCACACGGAATTAAATGGCAAACTTTAAGAACAGATTTATTCATCGAGGTGTCGCTAATAGTTAAATCGAAGAAAGTCATCATTATGGGAATTTCAAAATTGGGTTTTGATGTCCTTGCAGTTGGCCTCAAAGTCTAAATTCTGTATAGGAGCAGATTAATTCAGCGAAGTTTCTTCTTGATTATCAGAGTGTAAAAATAGTCGTAGTGTAAAATACTTATTTACTTGACACTTGGATGGCTCGTCTTCACTGGTTGTGCAGGCCTGAGGATGATTTCCATTCTCCGGAGAGTTTAGGCATTGTGGTTTCTCGAAGTCTCGAGATCAGCCTAGTCAAAGTCTGCACCACGTCGCCATCACCACAGACAGTCCCCGTCCTTGTGGGTCAGAAGGAGATTTGCCACCATGCGATTAGTTTCATACCAGGACGGTGGTGGTTTTTGGTATTGGTTTACCCATAGCTGGACTTCCTGATGGAAACGCCGAACTCATTCTCAGCTTGGAGGGGCCTGCTGGGGGAAGAATCTCATCGCTGTACATCGTAGCTCGATACCTAGGAACACCTTCCAACCACGATGAGACGGTAAACCGTTGGGAGGCTGTAAAATAGAATAGAAAAAAGTAAGTAGTGTAAAATAGAATAGAAGAAGGTACTTCTTTAAAATAAAGTAATAGTGAACGAAAGTAGTAGTTGAAAATAAATATGCGTGTTTAGCACACTGGTCAGAGTGTCCCTGCAACACACATGGAATTGATCCCGGCGCATCAGGCCCTCCAGGCTTTCCATCCCTCCGTAGTCGGCAAATTGGTACCGGACTTGTCTGGGAGGATAGCAGCACTGGCTCGATACATCGGTAGGCCACCGCGAGCCATCGTAAAGGCCAGATATGCATTCAATCACCTCCAAACGATGTTTAATGAAGTCGAATGCATGGAGCATCCCTCTGGGATTGATCATTGCGGAGAGCGTTATCCCTTCATCCTTCTAGTGAACGTTCTGTCTGTAGGCGCTTTATTGTGGTAATCACTGACAGCCTGCATCAACTTTAGAAAGAAGGATGTTCGCCACATTGAAGCCCTTGGAGTTAAAGTACCGGTTAAATGGGACACAACGGAAGGAAAGGAATTGGCATCCGCTTTTGTGCTGTCGGATGATGTGAGTTTTTTGTACAATTTCTTACAAAATTTCCTTTCTCAACTCATTTTCGTGACTTTTTCCAATTTATTTTCTCTCCAGTTTAGGCTCTTCGTTTCGTATTTCTACGAGATTTGTTTGCACATGATGGTTATTCTGCTTTAGCTGAACGAAGTATATCATGGTCAACATGGACTACATTTACAAGTATATTTACGTACTGGTTGCATAATGTATGGCATTTCTAGATTAGACCGCTGAAAATTTTTTGCCACTTTGCTTTCAGTATTGCAATTTAGTCTTCTAAAATGCTTGGGGGAACTGCGGTATCATTTGTATCATTGTACATATTCTTCGTTTCTGTCGCCTGGTTTGCCAACAGGCAGTGGGACTATCTATATAGGTAGGTTATGGTATATTTACTTTTAATATGCACTGGAGTCTACACAACTTGTGAAGACAGGCTGTCCAGAGGGGCGCGTGTGGCGCAGTAGTTGGAGGGGCGCCCTTCAGCACACATGGGATCGGTTCCCGCCCCCATGGCCCACGAAGCCCTTCATCTCTCTGGGGTCGATGAATTGTTACCAGACATCTGGGAGGATAGCAGCAGTGGTTCGATACATCATTAAGCCACTGAGAGTCTTTTTAAACCCAGATTTGCATTCAGTCACCTCCAACAATGCTTGGTGAAGTCGAGTGCATGGCGTATTCTCAATGATTTATCAACGCCGAGAGCTTTATCCTTTTTTATATTTATTTTCGCAAGTACACTTACTGTGTTTCTTATTGTAACACTTGAAGATACGTAACAGATGTCCATGCTGACAGTGTCGCTGCTCGTTCCTCTTTCAATCATTGTGAAGGTGGTAAGGAATGGTACTGGAAGCAGTTGAAGCAGTTTAGGTGTGTTTTAGGTAGTTTAGGTATGATTCGGCTTCACTTTGTTTTCGCTTAGAAACGACGGGACTGCTTTCGTCTTCATTACAGAATTATGCGCGACATTTCTTATGATTTAAAGACTCGAGTCACAGCTTCTGGTGACATCAAAGGAATCCCGACTCCCATAATAGTTAGATTTGATCACCTTAAGGTCGGAAAGTTCATACAGAAGCAAGTTGTAGTAAGTGAATAGTTGATAACATTATTTGCAGGATTTAAACAAAGAAGACGACGATCTCAAGCAAGTTGTTGCTGGAGACGACTGATGTGTTTGCATCACAGTCGTTCTGGATAAATACAGCAACCCTGTATTTAGTAACTTCATTGTTTTTTAATTTCCCAGATGCTTGCGTTATGTCCAGAGATGTTTTTTTTAGCAGTTTTCTTTCATGAAGAGAAGGCGTTGACTCGGTTACAATATGGAATGGATCTGTTTTTTTTTACTAGGGAAGAATGTGTTGTTTTCAATGCGTTGTTTTTATTTCATTTTACTGAATGAAACTAGTGAGAAGAAGTGCATGTAATTACAAAATCAGTCTCTGCAGCTAAATACTTTCTATTTTTCCTACATGATTGGTCATCACACCTACTATTCGAATCCCAGTACATCTTGCATTCGATTCGTTTTCTTCGAATCTATCGTCTACAAAGGTCATCGAACACTTCGCTTATTCTATCGGTTGCTGCTTGAGGACTTCACCGTCTTCATGACTGTTGTGGAATGCGATTCTGGTTCTGGAAATGGTTCAGTCGATTCTCCTTACAATCGTGGAGATAGGCGGGGTTAGATGTTTCAACGTTCATTCGAGAAGAGCAATGGGCAGAGGATCGAACCAGCACCTTGCTTCCCGATGAACTGCATTACTAACTACTGCGCTCAATTTTTTCGCAACTGTTCGTGTGTCATTGTAGTTGAGAGTAGTGTATCGAGGTGGTCTATGGAGATGTACAAAGAAGATTTCTTCTATCAAATGTGATCGTCATAGTTGAGGAGTTTAACATTTCCACTAGGAACTTAAGAGCAGACCTTCTACAGGAGACCAGTTGGGCTTCTAGATACGTTCTCGCTTAAACACTCATGGAGTGAAGCACTTTATGATGTCGTTACATTGGTATAGGGTAACTGAGTTTTTTAGACAATGGTTTCAACCATGATAGGATATGGTGCATGCATACTCTCTTCCGCATTCTTTGCAAGCGCATTCGTTCCTGTGAAGAAGTTTCATACTGGAAACGGTGGGTATCGTTTATTTCTTTCGCAACACCTTTTGGCAAATTTACCTTCTTGCATTGATAAGCGAACACTGCCTAGTTGTAAGACTTCCATTTGCTTAACGCTTCGAAGCCCTTGCCTTTTTTAGAGCACTAATGATTTCAGTCGATCGTCCTGCTTATTCCTGCGTTTTGCTACCGAAAAACTGGGCGAGTAATCCCTTTAAACCCTTTTCAAAGCACTCATTTTAGCCTATCAATGCAATAAAACACATAGATTATTCATTCCAGGGTGATTTAAGAGTCGGTTTTCAAAAATACCCCTTGGTACTTTTTATTTCAGGAATTTTCGTGCAATGGGCTATGTCGGCAGGTATTTTTTGTGTTGGAATGGCAGTTTATGCTTTGGAATCTTTCCCGTTATTCCAACCTTTGGCTATGCTCGGCGGATCACTTTGGGCTTTGGGTTAGTTCGAAAAATTTTGCCTAGGATGTCTGTAAAGTCACTCGGTGTTTAGCGGAATTACAGTTCATAGAGGTGATAGAGGTGACGGTTTTTAGAAATAGCTTTCCTTCAAATATTCTTTAGTCCACGATTATCTTGAAGGTAATGCTACGGCGGTTCCTATTATGAACGTTCTTGGGTTAGGGATGGGAATGCTCATTTGGGGTGTTACAAACTGTGTAACTGGATGGGCGGTAGGGAGGTAAGCTCTCCATTTTAAAAGTTTTCTTCCTATTCTGCATAGATGAGCTTATAGGTTTGGATTATTCGGAATTAATGCCAGTATACCAACCTCACCACTGCTGAATTATTTCGGGCTGTTGCTAGTTATCATAGGGTTCGTCCATGTTTTCCATTGGGTTGTTTGTTTTACTATTATTGTTGTTGTCATTAGTATCACAATTCCTGCCAACGTTTTACCGCCTCATTGTGGCTGGGAGGTGTTCCTGGGTGTTGGGCTGCGTTGTACAACGGTGGGATTCATCCCCCAATAGGCGCTTGCAAACTAAAAAGGAGTTCGGCGTTTCCATCAGGAAGGCCAGCTATGGGTAAACGAATACCAGGATCCACCACCGTACTGGTATGAAACTAGTCGCATGGTGGCAAATCTCCTTCTGATCCACATGGGCGGAGACTGCCTGAGGTGGTGACGACTGGGGGCAGAATTTGGCTTGGCTGACCTCGGGATTTCAGGGAACCATAGTGCTTAAACCAACAAATATCAGGAAGAAAATGGGAATTATACTGGGGCCTGGACAACCAGTGAGGACGGGCCATCCAAGTATCCAACTAAATAGTAGGTATCACAGTTCCCAACCTTATTGAGTGATGGCTTTATATCCTTGTTTTATGATAACAATAGATGTGAATGATGGGCGAAAAAATGAAAAAAATGTTATTGCTTTCAAGTTGCGTTTTCTTCTCTCAAATGCGACCTACCGCTTTTGTTGTAACAAACGAAGATAACTTTGGCTTTGAAGAAAGTGGACTAGATAGAGATGATCCAGAGAACAGCCCATTGCTGAATCAAGATGAGCCAGTCACTGTGGGCCGTAATGACAAAAGAATTTTGTGAGTGATGAAAGTATTCATTAGGTCATTTCTTTTAGGTCATCGAATTATTGTTAACGGTATTTGGTTTTTGGATTATCATTTCTTGCTATTTGGATAGTCATGTTATTTCCAGGGCTATTTTTGTTGCTCTAGTCGCCGGTATCTTCTACGGTGTAACGTTTGTGCCTGTTATCTATATTCAGGATCATCCTGAGAAGGTTCGTGAGTTTGTTCTTTCTATGATAATAGTCAAATTTTTGCCGTCACTTTTTACTTAATGCCTCTTCTTTTTTTCATGGCAGGGTATATTGTGAAATATAAGTACAGTGATGGTGAGATATTTTCAAAACTCCAGACTGCAACTGTCTGGGTGATTGCAGTTAGCGACTATAAAACACTACCGAGAGGAGGGCAAAACGAAGGGTCCGCGTAGTGTGGTGTTGTACGCGTTAGCCTTTCGGAAAGGGCAATAGTGGGTTACCGCCACCGCAGACATCTGCGTTCCGGAGTGTTGCAAATATCTCAGCTTCGTTGTAGTTATAGTCACATTTTTGTTTAGTTCCCTGGAGCGTCTAAGAATGGGTTGTCATATGTGTTTTCGCACTACTGTGGGATCTTCTGCACCGCCACTTTGCTACTTATTTTGTACATTGCGTACAGCGTTGTAAGTGATGAAATCCATTTTCTTTTCTGATTTTTTGAAATGATTCCTCTATTTTTTTTTTGTGGTTTTAATAACATGAAGGTTCACTTTTGGTGTTTTAATGATATTTGCACAAGCAACCCAAAGTATTCATTGTGCAACTTTTTCTTCAGCTGTTTTTGCTTTTGAAAACAAATCCAGTGGTCTGACTGTTTTGTTTTCCAGAATCGTCCGGTGGTGAACTCTCGTATTATTGGTCCTAGCTTAATGGCCGGATTCATGTGGGGAATCGCCCAGTCCTCTTGGTATCTTCGAAGCCAAATTTTGTATTCCCCTCTACTCTCTAGCAATGTCCTAGGTTCGTAGCCAATGACAACCTGTCTCAATCAGTCACCTTTCCTATAATAACTACGATGCCTGGCGTAGGTGCGGCTATATGGAGTGCTTTCTATTTTAGGTCTGTTACGTATTTCCTTTAAGATTCCATGCTTTCTTCATATTTCTCTAAATACGTTAGAAGGATTTAATTTTAGAGAGATTACTGGGAAACGTAACCTCCGCGTTCTGACTGGCGCAACGCTGATCACCATCACTGGAGCAATTCTAGTGGGGGTCTCAAAATAAAACAAAACTATTTGAAAAACTCTGGAAGACCTAAAACTTCTACCAAATTATTCGAATCACTTTTTGAACACTTTTAACGACTTCGACCACTTGAACTAACACTTTCCGGGACATCACCATCGATATATACTAATATTTACCCTTAACTATACTAGCCCTATGCACCTTACTATAGTAACTCGAACACGGCTCATTTTATTGTGCATTATATATATATATATATATATATATATACCCACAATGTGGCTGCCTCTAGTGGATACTGTACAGACTTCCCAGTATTGCTGTGTTTTTCAACGCTGTAATTCTTTGAGATTATTCAGAATGTTTTTTGGTTGGTTATCTTTCGGATTACGTGGTTCATTAGTACAACTAAAATAAAATAGGTTACGATAATGAAAATAATAAGGCAGGTTATGAATAAATGAGCTGTAGTCATGATCTATGTGCAACAGTTGTCGTTTTATTGATTAAAAAAGGACATAGCATTTCTATTCCTTTTTCATACCAGTGATGGTACTATTTATCTTTTACAGCAGGAAAGTCAGAGTAGTATTTCCCGGTATGCTTTCTATTGTACCTCGTGGGCTTCTGTCTGCAACTTCCTGCTCTCCCTATTTTCGTTCATACTTAATATAGGTATTCTTCAGTTTTACTGGAGGAGTACGAAGTGGAAGACACGACAAAATATTTATCTCCAACAAATGTATTCATAAAATAGGGTGTGGTTTATTTATGGAGAAAGCCTTTGTATCTTCCAAGTTCCATCGCATTTTCTGAATTCGATTCTGTCATGTAAACGATCGCTTTGGCCTTGCCAAAACTCGAAATAATCAGGTACTAGTGCATAACCACCCCTAAAAAGGATTACAATTTTGAAAAGTTTTTTCCATAAACTAAAAAGAATTCGGTTTTTAAGGAATCTGTAAATGTCAATTCGGAAAAAGGAATATTGGTCTGTAGGTTACTCTGCACTTAATTTTCAATTTGCAATTTCGGTTTTCTTGTACATGTTTCAGCAGCAAATTTTTCCAAGTGAGGACAGGTAGCGCAGCGGTAGTGATGCCGTTAATCACGAGCACGGTGCATGTTTGAGCCCGCATTGGTTTCACCAAGCCTGGCATCCCTCCGCGGTTAGGAAATCGGTATCAAAGTTGTCTGAAAACAGCCTACTCATTCTACACATCCGTCTTCACTTCTACTATGCGGATACCAGCACTTCTCAAATCCGATCCGTTTCCTGGCATCCATCATTCACGAAAGTCTTCCGAATTTTTACGTGTGGTTTCGGTTGTTGCTTGAAGATTTTCATTCCATCTTGAATGTCGTAGAATGCTGGTCGAGCAAATCTCTTTGTAGTCCTCAAATAGCCAGGCGTTTTGACCAATTTTAAACGTTGGAATTTCAAATATATAAACAGAAATTTCGACAAATCTACTTCTACGGATTTAAGCACGGAGGTACGCAGTGCAAATCGATCGAAACATTAATGGCGTATGGGGCTGGGTGTTATTTACTGAACACACGGTTTTAAGATGGCTTGAAAAGTTTCGTCGTGGCAAATTCGACCTTAAAGATGTAGGTCGCGGAGGTCCTTCTACTATTGACGACGATGGATTGAGTAATTTGGATGAAGAAAATTCATTCACAACTGTTCGAGACCTTGGAGAAGAAGTCGATGTACGTGCCCCATGGATTGAATGACAATGAAATAAATCGGCCGCTTTGAGGTATCGGCGGTGCTTCTGCGCAACTAGAACGATCCGTTTGTTGACGATATTGTGATGTGCGGCGAGAAATAGATCCTATACGACAAACGGAGACGATCGGCTTAATAATTAGACGGCACTGAAGCTTCGCTGCACTTTCCAAAACCGAAATCGCTCCAAAACGTCTAGCTAACCGTATCATGGTCCACAATTGGTTTGATCCATTTCGGCCTCCTTTTTCCAAACGATCAAAGCAGAGAAGTACGCCCAACTAATCAACAATATACACCGGAAATCTCAGTGGTTGTGCCTTCCACTGGTGAACAGAAAGAGACCAATCCACGATAACGCGCGGTCACACGTCAAACTAGCGACGTTGCAGAAACTGAACGTGCTGAGATACGAAACTCTCCCTCATGCACCACACTTGTTAGACAATCTCACTCTTAGACTACCAATTTTTCAAGGATCTCGATAGGTTCCTGTGCGAGAAATGGTTTAGAAACCAAGGCGAGGTCGTAATTGACTTCAGCGACCTCATCACCGCCAGAATTCCGTAATTTTATTGCAGTGATTCCTATTGAGCTTCATTGTATTGGCTTCTATTAGGGGCCGACAGCACAGCGGTAGTAATGGTGATCATCACGAGCACGGTGCTCGTTCGATCCCGCCCTAGGCTCATCAAGCCTCTCATCTCTCCGAGGGTCGGGAAATTGGTACCGAACTTGTCTGGGGAAGAAATGACTCTCTGCAATCCAATTCGGAGGGCTCTAATCCGGCTATCGGAGGACTCCAGTTAGAATCAACTCGACCAGCATTCTGCAACACTCAAGCTGAAATGAAGTCTTCAAGCAGCAACCAAAGCCACATGTAATAATTGGAAGACCTTAGTGGATGATAGATGAGTGGAGACGAATCGACTAAGGGAAAGGCTGGGCTCCGCACAGTAGACGTGAAAACGGCTCGTATAAAATAAAATAAAATATTCGGATTAATGAAGCTTCATCTGAGCTGAGATATGCCACTTTGAAAATATCGGTTGAAATCAGACATTAATTCCCGGAGAACTTGATAACATCTGTGAAACGAACATACCATGAATCCGGTTTGGTGATGCTACCTGGTCCTTCTTTATCCACTTGTTCCTCCAACGCTTTTCGTTTGTCCGTAAGATACTAGAGGATTGAAATAGAACAAATTGTATGGGAATTATAAAACAACTTCACGCTAAATATAGAATGTGCTAAAGGATACAGGATAAAGCTCTTGGCGTTGATCAATCCCTGAGGGATGCTCCATGCATTCTACTTCATTAAGCATCATTTAGAGGTGACTGAATGCATATCTGGCCTTTATAATGATTCACGGTGGCCTAGCGATGTATCGAAGCAGTGCTGCTATCCTCCCAAACAAATCTGGTACCAATTTGCCGACCGCAGACAAATCGAAGGCTTGGTGGGCCCTGGGCGCGGGGATCGGTTTCATGTGTGTTGCAGGGTGCCTCTGACCACTGCGCCACACGTGCCACCATAGAATACTCTAGGAATTTATTGCTCAAATAGTATGGAATATGTGTAGAATACTTAAACACTATTTGCAAAAGTCTGAGCCGCAGGTGTCTGTGGTGGTGTTCGAACACGCTATATCATTTCCGAGGGCTAACACGTTCACCACCACACCATGCGGACCTTTCGTTTCCCTTTTTCTCAGCTTGTTTTTCCATCTTTTTTTTATTAATTTTTGTATGACCCGCCTTCACACCTACTATGCGGATCATTCAATCACTTCGGTATTGGAAATACAGGATTCTAGTGGTTTCCTTTTTATTTCTGCTTAGACCCGACTTTCAATATTATGTATAATCCAGCATTTCCTTGATTCAGTTTGTCGCCTCGAATCCGTTACCCATGGAAATCTTTGAATCTGTATGTGGATTCGTCTACAACTTGATATTAGAATTTTCTCTTCTTTCCGAATGATGCTGAATGCCAGTTCAGCTGGCTCCCTCTGAAATCTTTGCATAGCTCTAGTAAAACGTTACTGGTTTTCAACAAAAAGCAGTCACGTTTGTGGATCGAGAGGAGCTTTTCCCAAACAGAATGGTTGAAACATCTGGGAACATTGTACGGCATGTCTGACCACTGTCCTCTCGCGTCCTTTTGGTGCATTCATAGCAATTAATAAACTTCACTATCAGCTGCAATAAGATCGCCCAAAACTAAAAATCTCGTCTACTTCGTGCTAAGGTTTCAGGGGAAGTCAAGGAAGGTCGACAAGTAGTTGCTACATGGTTTCATAAATAGTTAAATGCTGCGGTAATTGGTCAGTTCGCTTCTTCTATCGTTCGGCACGTTGATCGAATTATAACGTGTCATGAAAAACAGAACTTCGTAAAATAGGAAACGGCCAGGTTATTGCTAACTCCAACTTTATACAACACAAAGCACAGCCACTGCCTAGAGGTAGTGGGAATGATCCATTCTTCCTAATTCTTGTTTGATTATGTTCTCACAGCAGAACCACACTACAAGTAACTTGTCAGGAAGAAAATCCAGCTATCCCTAACGAAATTATATCAGTCAGATACTGATGGACTCTATTGCCGCCTACATTTTACTTGTACCATTAGTGAGCAGCTGAATGAGTTAAAATATAAAAAATATAAAACGGTCTCACAGTCCACATATCCTTTGGACCTTTACTCAAATGATTTTGTTTTCTTAACGTCTAAACTCTTCTTAAGTATAAAGCACACAAAAACCAATAAGTCATAAGCACGTTTCAAATAGCTCATCTTTTTTTTTCTGTTGACAAACACGGAGTAAATAAAATTGTATCTATCTGTTGATAGAGATGTGCTAATTGTAATGGCACTCTTGTTGAATGGGAAATTTTCATGTTATGGCTGACCAGGAGCGCGTGTAGTCTAGTTGTTGGAGGTACCCTGCAATAAACACGGGTTGCGTCTCCCGCCTCGGGCTCATCAAGCCTTCAATCACCCCGGGGTTGGAAAATTGGTACCACACCTTTCTGGGAGGATAGCAGCACTGACTCGATGCATCGGTAGGCAGAGTTTTGGGTTCGGTAATTGGTCCACGGCTTCCTAGAGAGGTCCGAATGCGGCCGATAGGGATCTTTTTCTTTTGCCTAATTCTTTTTAATAGCTTTCCATGTTAATATGCCCAAGGTACACATACCTGGTGGTCTCCTCTGTAATCAGAGAACCATCCAGTTTGACGTGATCATCTTGGCACATGGGTTTTTCAAGAAATCGGTCCTCCGATTTATGCGCAGTCCAATCTTTTTTTCCCACTTAGTTGAGCTCACTGGATATCCCATCTGTTTTGTTGGTACTTTTTGCGAGGACGACGATGTCGTCAGCGAAGCGAAGATTTGATAGGAATTTTCCATTAATATGTATGCCCTTCTCGTCCTAAACGAGTGAGTTAATTATCCATTGCAATGCGACAGTAAACAGCTTTGACGATAGGTGTCGTCTTGTCGAACCCCTTTCTTATGGGTATCGTGCTTTTTCTCATGTTTTCGAACCTCAGAGGGAAGAATTCCACGTGGTTCTCTCCAGCGGGGATTTCAAGGTACCGATAGGGATTGTGGAACAAAAGGTTGATGTAGAACTTTTCCGTTTTGAATTCCATATCATGTTGGGAAGTTCTAGTGAACCCATCTTCGTTCAACAGGGCTGAAAGCGGAGCATTATACTCCCACAAGTTTCGTCGGCATTTCTTCAGATTTGTTCTTTTTTTCTGTTCCTTCTATCAGTTTCTACTACTTGCACCAATGTGGGTTCTCCTGCAAAGCTTTTCTGCAACTAGCACTTACTAGTCGTGTTAAGTGTATTGCAGTAGGATAAGGCTTCAGCCTTCTTTTCTCGAGCATTTCCTTGAATCTTTAAGAAATCGTTGCCGAAAAAATATTTCCTTCATATGGACATCGTGGTGAAGACCTAAGAACACTCTTACAAGGTCAAGTCATGACTACAGGAAAGATTAAATTGTTCAACCAGCAATAGGCCAGCTTCAGTACTCTACAAACTGGGTGCCTCTGCCTATGTCAGGCGGTGAGACGACCGGTGAGAGGTTACAGTCCCGGATTACGAAGGACATCACTGGAACCAGATTTGATGAATTTAATAAAGCAAGAAGACTGACATATACCACCTAAACCACCTAAGATATATGACCTTTCTCATCCACGGAGAAAAGGTCCCGTCACGAAATGTCGGTAGCGTTGGCTTTGCCGTTCACCCATCCATTGCTCATCTTGTCGAATAGTACGAGATCCTTTCATCTCGTATGGCTGTCCTCCGTCTACACGCCATAGAACGATCACTACCATCATTTGCAACCATCACGCGACATACTCAGTGGAAGACTCATAGATAGCGGTGAGTGTGCAAAGAAGCCATTCTGTGTTCAATGCGATTGAAACATTGGTTTAGCGTTTCCTTGTTTGATTATGGAGGTGTTTGGTCGAATAGATTGCTGTCAACCTGATCTTTCCAGACACTGAGGAAGTCGAAATCCGCTGAAAAGTCGGCTTATTTGTGAATAAAGCATAAAAATAACACCTCGCGTTTGCTCAAGAAGAATACGAAGAATTACTTGATCAATACCAAGGTTAATGGAAAGTCGGTCGTGGGAGTTACTTCAGTAACCATGTGTCGTATTTCCTACCGATCACACTTTAAATTTATTTATTATCGTTACTTATCAGTGGCGTGTGTGGTACGGTGGTTGGAGGCGCCACTGCGACACACACGTGGAAAGTCCCCGCGACCAGAGCCCACCTAGCCTTCCGTCTCTCCGGGATGGGCAACTGGTACCAAACTTGTCTAGGAGGCTGGCAACATTGGCTCGATACATCGGTAGGCCACCGCGAGTCATTGTAAAGGCCAGATATGCATTCAATCACCTCCAAACGAAACTTAATGAAATCAAATGCATGGCGCATCCCTCAGGGATTGATCAAGGCGAGAGCTTTATCCCTTATCCTTTTATTGTTACTTATCACTATTCTTATTTTCGTTGCTTTCATGATTACTACATTAATTTTGGAGCTTTCGGTTAATTACGTCGGTAGGAAGAAATGACATAAAAAGATCAACCACTAAGAAATCACTCACATCTCTATTTGGCACTACCTCACTCTGTTCGCTGCACTTCGAGCCGATTCGACTGGCAATGGGCCGCGAATTCCAGTAAGTCACAGCGTCTTCATTTGAAAGTTGAGACACCTTGCCTTCAATCCGCACCTTAAACCAACAGATCTACTAAGTTTTACGGGAAATTGAGCTTCATTATGTGATACCTGTCGGTGGACCTTGGGCCAGTAAAACAACATGCACGCATTCGGATTCTCATGCAATTCTCGTCCTTTGCGGCTGTTACAGTTCGTATAGAACGAGAAGGCATCGTTCGCATATGACTTTAGGAGAACCATTCGAGAAGATGGACGCATGTCTCTAAATTTTGCACTATTCAAAATAAAACTCAGTATATTTGCAAATAACGGGTTCTCGAGTATTCTACTGCGTTTTGCACAGGTCTACCGTAGTAAGTAATTTTTGCATAGAGTAAAAGGCTTGCAAATTCACGTTCAGTTCTGTGCAAATATTGTTACAATCCCAGGACCGACTTTCTTTTAACCTCGGCATTGATCAACAAGTCGGTGTTTTTTCCATGAGCAAACTCGGGGTTGTTACTACACTACACTCACGATAACTGACGTTTCGACGGTTTCACCTTCTTCAGAGCCTGGAAAGGTCTAAGTGATGTAGGATCTAGTTAGCGAAATATTTCCATAATCTCAACAGAAACATTCGAAGCGTATCGCTTTACAAAGAGCTTCTTTTAATAACTATTTTCTATTAGTTTTGTAGTTAATCTCACTAATGAGGAAGACCAATCGCACAACGTTAACATGGGTGGGGGATGTGCTCGCCTCAGGTCAACAAATAAGCCAGATTTCCAGAGAGCTCACACTTGATTAAAAAGTACTTGTCCCTGCGGTTCATCTCTGGTTTTTAAAATTTGTCCAAAGTGCTTCCAGAGTTTTGAATGCTGATGTTTTAGACTTCTGTAAGAAGATGGTGTCTTATGTCTCCGTGGAGTGTACTGCTCGACTTTAAGTTTCCCAGCGGGGTACTCTTTTTGACGGATGGGGAGTGATATACCCGTTTTTCTAACGTATTCGCCCCCACACGCCTACAAGAGGTTAGGTACACTCTGCCCAAAACTCATGCAATCACTGTTTCTAACGTTAGGGAATATTATGCAATTTTGAGTTGTGCATAGACAGTCATACAAACGGTTGCGAATAGCACTTTGGGTGTTCGCCGGTATTTCAATCACTGCTACCGATTTTTCTAAAGCTGCCCTTTTAAGCAGCGTTTTATAAAAGTGCTTATTTCACTGGGAATGCAAGGTATGTTAAACGGGACCTTACTGTTGCTAGACACATAGTTATCGTGTGGGCATGAGGTTCTCTTCAAAACCTATCTCAAGCAGCTACCGTTTGGTAGCCATTCGAAATGGCTATTTTTCGCGCCATTTTCAGAGTTCCCTGCTTCAGCTCTCCTCCGGAGCACACACTCATGCGTATTTAAAACATGTTGCTCACAACCGTTATTTTTACGAGCGAGGGGTGAGAAAAGAGATGATGAACTGGCATGTTTTTGCTAACTGGCTTTCAGCACCATTCGGTGATTTAGCCGCTTTTTTTGACAGGTTGATCTAAACGTTCAAGAACGGAAGCCAGCCTTTCTTCGGTTTCCCTCGGGTGAAACTGACGTATTCCGGGCGTTGGTTTAGTAATTTAAAACGTTTTTCCACCTCCTCTTGCGTTCCGCAGATGACGACAAAACGCTTGTCGATATACCTACAATAATGGCCGCAGACCGAGTGCGGGGGCTTCGATTTTAAGTACGAATGCAAAGGTAAGGCTTAGTGGCAGTAGCTGCCCCATTTTCAACCCTCTCATTTGTATATAATGCTGAGATATTTGCAGAACTCCGGACCGCAAGTGTATGCGGCGGAGAACGAACGCGCGCTATTACCCTTTCCGGGGAGTAGCGCGCTTCACCACCACACCGTCCGGGTCTTTCGTCTTGCCTGCCTCTCAGTTAGTTCTATTGACCTTTTACCATCAGCAATCACCCGTCAACGGGATCGATCTGGGGGGCCCAAATCGGCATTGAACCCAGTTAAGCTGAGGCTTAGTTATAATCACAATCTTAACCCTTTTATTTACTGCCTTTTTCTTTTTAATGGCAGGGTATGTTGCGATATTTTTGTACTTCTGTACCTCTCATTTGTACTTCTCAGATCATCTAAATGTTAAGCGATCTAGATACTTCTTAAAGAGGGCCATAAGCTGGTGAGTCGAGAGGCCATTCATATTTATTACTCCTTTGCATTAGGTAATGAGCACGCCGGATGGCATGCAATACGCAGTTATTTCAAACGTTTGCATAAAGGGTAATAACGTCGACAAACATTATCATATACGCACTGTTAGGATGCGCTTTATGTGTACGACGTAGGAAGGTCTGGGTACAACGTCTTCATCTTCCACAGAACCGGTGATCCGAGTAGATGGTCCAAAGTTGTTTGTCCTCTCGATGTGACGTATTTATCTTCGTATCGAGTCGAATCTTCTTCAATGGAGCACCACTTGAATGAGACAACCTCACCAAGCGATGCTCTTATATGTATGACTTATTGTTGCTAGTGATTGGCCGAAGATAATACTGGTTTTCTTCGGACAATTCATCCTGCAGCAGTTGGTATCATTATTAGGTGACACAAAGCGTATCAATATTTCAAAATCTGACTTTCACTTAACCTTGGCATGACTAATCGAACCAACCACATCGAGAAGACGAACAAATGTGGACCATCGACTCGAATCATCGGCTCTGAGGAAAGCAAAGACGTTGAAACATTAGCCGAATAAAGTTTATTTTATCAACCTCGCGTAAGTGTATTAATGAAAGAATACGAATTGATTAGTCATCCCAGTTTAAAGAGAAAGTCGGTAGTACTAACTTATGAATCTTGGCACGTACGTATTAAAGGGAAACACCGGTAATTCAGTTATAAGCTGCGAAATAAGTGATGGTTCTAAGCATGCCGCTCCTACCACTCGGTCTATTCCGTGAACAACTTTCGGTATTAACCCTTGAATTCCTTTTTAGATGATGGGCAATAAAGTGAAGGCTCTCCAAGGTGTTTTCACGCTATCTCAATATCTAACTGACGAGGAAGTACTACACAATCTCCAAATATATATATATACTTAATTCCATTTGTTTTTGAACCGGTCCCACAGCATATTTTCGCGCTGCCGCGAGGTTGGAACCAAACTTTTTCTCGCGATAATGGTTAAGGATTTTGGGAGTTTCCTTCGAAAATATGTGAGAATTGATGCCACCAACTCAAGTGCCACCGTGTTAGGAGAAATGACTCTCCCTGACGACGAGCGCTCGCTATTAGAATTCGGTCTAAGTTTCTCACAGGCGCAATCCATTTCTAAATAAACCTTGCGTGGGATCGGATGTAGTCTGCGCGAGCTTCAAGATGACTCCGTAGCAAAGGTATAATTGAAACACGAAATAGAAATGAACAACGAGAAGTAAGAGCATTACCACAACCACCTCTTCCTCGAGTGCTCTTTAGATAGAAGGATCCCAACGGTGAAGTGGACATCAATTTTCGAATATTTTCGGATCTCCCGAACACCCAAATGTTCCTGGATCGTCTACTTAATGCGCGTTCTAACAGTGCTTAATGGAGTCCTTCGACGTTACCGTTCTTTATTCAAAGTCCAATGACTCTGTAATGCCAGCAGTTGGGCGAGCTCATTATGCAAAACGAAGGAACAATAAACATGTGCGATTTCTAAACTCAGTAGCTCATGGTCCTCTTGAAGGAGTGCGTAAACCGCTCAATTTCCAGATGGTCTGGAAAACATTATGCACAAATGAGACGGTTGGCAATGGAACAGTGACTGCCATTAAGCCTTCGCATTGCATTCGTGTCTAAAGTTTAAGCACCAGTACACGGTTTCCGGCCACTTCTCTGCTCTAGGTATATCGACGACTGTTTTATCATCTGCTCAACGTAAGAGGAGATGGACAAATAACATGCATTGCTAGATAAAAATCGGAGTAAATAAACGGTTTCTGTTTTTGAACGTTACCATTAACCTATCCAAAAACGGCTATGTCACCAAATGTTACCAAAAGTGAAGTAATAAAAATACTGGTCTATTATCTGTTCTCTTACTTTTCACACATAAAAAGAGTGCTTGAGAGAAATATGTTTCGAATGGCCACTAGTGTGGACTCAGGAAGAAGGCAGAAGAAGGAATCTTTGAACTTGGAGCGGCAATTAGCTTTTTCCAATGGCTACAAAAAGTAGCTCTTCGGGATAGGATTAAGGAAGAACCATACCCCTCAGGCGATGTGTGTAGCGAGGATGAGGTCCCGTTTATCCTGTCCTTTACTTCCAACGAAATAGGTGCTTCTATAAAACCTTGTTTAAGAAAGGCCGGTTTAGCAAAGTCGGTAGCTGTAGTTGAAATACCACCGAACACTCTAAGACACCATTCGTAACCGTTTGTATGGCCGTCTATGCACAACTCAAAATTGCGTAATATGGAAGTAGAAACGGTGATTTCATGAGTTCGAGTTCGGTGTACTTAACCTTTTTGGAAAAGGTGTGGGTTGAATACGTTGTAAAACCGGTAGACCACTCGCCATCCGTGAAAAAGAGCACCCAGTTCGGGAACGTAAAGCCAAACAGAATACTCTATTAAGCACGAATAGATCAATGAAGGCATGACGGAGAAGATTCTGAAGTAAAAGTTAATATCTTTGCACAAGATTCCAAAACATCAGTGTTTGAAAATCTTGAAGCGTTTCGAATAGATTCCAAGAATCCAGAAATCAACCACAGAGAGGAGTGCCTCGTGATCACGGGTGACCTAATGGCATACTTCACACTTTCTTTTTGACCTGAGCCAAGCACACTCCACACCGATGTAAGACTCAGTGCGGAACTTCACCAAACAGCTGGAAGGATTAGAAGAGAAGAGAAGAGAGAACGAAACGTTGAGTGTTTAAAAAAAGCTATTTATTACGCGAAAGAAAACTTATGTATTAAGTTTTATCTGGTGAGGTTATGAAAGTGTGTAACGGAGTAGACTGCATGTCAATTTAACCCTCCCAGGTTGAAGAGTGCGAAACCGGCGAAATGTTGAGTATTGTGAATGAATATATGTTGTACTATTCTTGTGTTTCCGTTCAAGGGTGATTGCTGATGACACTGATAGATAGAAAACTACCTGAGAGAGGCGGAACGAAAGATACGCATGGTGTGGTGATGAACGCGTTAGCCCCCGGAAAGGGTAATAAATAGCGCGTTCGTTCCTCACCGTAGATAGATATCCGTGATCCG